ACACCCCAAGCTCGACATAGCCAATCTTACAGTGTAACTCTACACCCTCTAGCTCGACATATCCATTCTTACAATGTAAGTCTACAACCCTAGCTCGACATAGACAGTCTTACAGTGTAACTATAAACCCCTAGTTCGACATAGCCAGTCTTACAATGTAAGTCTACACCTCTAGCTCGACATAGCCAATCTTACAGTGTAACTCTACAGCCCCAAGCTCGACATAGCCAGTCTTACAATGTAAGTCTACAACCCTAGCTCGACATAGACAGTCTTACAGTGTAACTATAAACCCCTAGTTCGACATATCCAGTCTTACAATGTAAGTTTACAACCCTAGCTCGACATAGCCAGTCTTACAGTGTAACTATAAACCCTTAGTTCGACGTAACCATTCTTACTGTGTAGCTCTAAACCCTTTAATTCTTTCATTCGCTAGTTCAACTATTAATCATTCAACAAAACTTCAAATATGACAAATCTTTCTGAGATAATTTTCCTATTGGGTCTCGGCCTTATGGTCGAACAGCATTCGGACCATGCCAGCTTATAACAGCAGAAGTATGAATAGTTCAGATTCAGAATATTCTAAAAGGAAAAATAATCAACAGGCCTGATGGGCCTGAATTGCTCACCTGTTCTAGCAGACAATAAAGAATTAATTGGTTCATAAAATAATTTTCTGTTAAACTGAAATCTTAGTCCTCAAACATCATACTACACATTTGTCCTCTCTGACCATGTATCCCAGCATGCTACATGCCCAATATCAGCACCCTGAGAGTTCTGATGATTAATTTTTTTTTATTACAATAGGTCATTGTCATTCCATTTTTGTAATGCTGAAACCCCATAAGTTTGTCACTGTATACTACAAGGTCAATTTCAGTATTGTGGGTCCTTTGTTATTATTAAGTCGTTAAAAAAATTAAGACCTTTTAAGCCCTGTGACCTTGAATGTGGATCAAGCCCCTACCCCCACACACCCCCACCCCACCCCTCATCCCCACCCCTTCCCCCCTTAAATTCATCCAACTGTGACGCTATAACTGTGGCTGAATGGTATGATCTATAACTAGGTTCAATAGTTGCTTTTCTAGCACTAGATAACAGAGAATCAACAGTAAGAATGAATTCTAACCAGGCCTGTTTTAAGGGGTTTCTCCTTTGCCAAGCATATCTCTTAGTATCTGAATGAAGCTCTCCATAAATATCAACGGGATTTATATTTGTCGTTAATTTCCAAATCCCTTTACTAAGCAGTAGCGTTATTAAAATTTCTATTTGTGTTATCATAATCCATATCAGCATTAAATACGAGGTTGCAATCACAAAAAACTACCACATTATTGTATCCGAAACTTTCTATAGTATTAGAACCATGACTATATAATCTGGATTGTCATTATTTGGCCCATAAAGATTAATTAGTGTTATTCTATTACCCTCAATATCGAAACCTTGTTGATATAATCCATTAGAATTTGGAATATATAAAAATCACTTCAGAACATGAAAAGAAATCACAGATACACACACACAAATAGATCTATAAACAACACATAAATATGAAAATCCAACACTGTCAGGGAATTTCTGATCGGTGACAGCCATTACTGGCGTAGTATCCAATCGATCATAACCCACATGTTGTCCCTTAATGCTTCGTCATAAAGTTGACATCGACATAGCCAGTCTTACAGCGTAACTCTACATCCCTAGTTCGACATAGCCTGTCTTACAGCGTAACTCTACACCTCTAGTTCAACATAGCCTGTCTTACAATGTAACTCTACACCTCTAGTTCGACCTAACCAGTCTTACAGTGTAACTCTACACCTCTAGCTCGACACAGCCTGTCTTACAGTGTAACTCTACACCTCTAGCTCGACATATCCATTCTTACAGTGTAACTCTACACCTCTAGCTTGACATAGTTACTCTTACAATGTAACTCTAGACTCCTAGCTCGATTTTGCCAGTCTTACAGTGCAACTCTACACCACAAGCTCGACATAGTTAGTCTTAAAGCGTAACTCGACACCCCCTAGCTCGACATAACCAGTCGTACAGTGTAACTCTACACCTCTAGCTCGACATAACCAGTCGTACAGTGTAACTCTACACCACAAGCTCGACATAACCAGTCGTACAATGTAACTCTACACCTCTAGCTCGACATAGCCAGTCTTACAGTGTAACTCTACACCCCAAGCTCGACATAGCCAATCTTACAGTGTAACTCTACACCCTCTAGCTCGACATATCCATTCTTACAATGTAACTCTACACCCTAGCTCGACATAGACAGTCTTACAGTGTAACTATAAACCCCTAGTTCGACATAGCCAGTCTTACAATGTAAGTCTACACCTCTAGCTCGACATAGCCAATCTTACAGTGTAACTCTACACCCTCTAGCTCGACATATCCATTCTTACAATGTAAGTCTACAACCCTAGCTCGACATAGACAGTCTTACAGTGTAACTATAAACCCCTAGTTCGACATAGCCAGTCTTACAATGTAAGTTTACAACCCTAGCTCGACATAGACAGTCTTACAATGTAAGTCTACAACCCTAGCTCGACATAGACAGTCTTACAGTGTAACTATAAACCCCTAGTTCGACATAGCCAGTCTTACAATGTAAGTCTACAACCCTAGCTCGACATAGACAGTCTTACAGTGTAAGTTTACAACCCTAGCTCGACATAGACTGTCTTACAGTGTAACTATAAACCCCTAGTTCGACATAACCATTCTTACTGTGTAGCTCTAAACCCTTTAATTCTTTCATTCGCTAGTTCAACTATTAATCATTCAACAAAACTTCAAATATGACAAATCTTTCTGAGATAATTTTCCTATTGGGTCTCGGCCTTATGGTCGAACAGCGTTCGGACCATGCCAGCTTATAACAGCAGAAGTATGAATAGTTCAGATTCAGAATATTCTAAAAGGAAAAATAATCAACAGGCCTGATGGGCCTGAATTGCTCACCTGTTCTAGCAGACAATAAAGAATTAATTGGTTCATAAAATAATTTTCTGTTAAACTGAAATCTTAGTCCTCAAACATCATACTACACATTTGTCCTCTCTGACCATGTATCCCAGCATGCTACATGCCCAATATCAGCACCCTGAGAGTTCTGATGATTAATTTTTTTTTTATTACAATAGGTCATTGTCATTCCATTTTTGTAATGCTGAAACCCAATAAGTTTGTCACTGTATACTACAAGGTCAATTTCAGTATTGTGGGTCCTTTGTTATTATTAAGTCGTTAAAAAAATTAAGACCTTTTAAGCCCTGTGACCTTGAATGTGGATCAAGGTCATTTATCTGAATAAATTTAGTAGCTCTTCATACCACCATGCATTAGGCCTAATATCGGCCTCCTGGGTTTTTGGTAGAAGTGCACAATTTCTTGGTGTGGCCATGGGTGATATTTTTATTCATTAGATTACCCCATAATTAAGGTTTTTATGAAAAATAAATCCTTGCTAAAATTGGTCAGGTCATTTTGAAGTGGAAAATGTGGGGCTTCATATTTTTCAGAATAATATTTTTGTATTTTATTCGAGATGACTATTTGGGCAGTCTCGAATCTGAGTCTACACACCAAACACTGACTTCATAGGATGTGGAACAGTGGCCATGTTGTAAAGCTGTTCCGGGTTGGAATTTGATGAAACTCTGTTACGATGACAGTTTCGTTAACTTTTGAATATGTGTTTAGAAATCAATTCCTCACAAGAAGTTTTGGGTTGGAATTAGTGATATTTTGGTATCTTAAGCCTTTTTTGAGTTGGTAACCATAGCAATCTAAAGTCAAAATTAGAGCAAATTTTTGTTTACAAAATCTTTATTTCTCTACCATTAATGTAATTGTTATGTAGTTTATAAATATAGATACATGTAAGGGTGTATTTTACATAGCCAATCTGCTATACATGTACTTGAATATCTCAAACATGTCCTATAATTTCAGGTAAAATGCAATCCTGATACCATATAGCACATGAAAAATAAAATCTACGTCGAATGTGCTTTCCTATACTTGATTAAGTTTAATTCCATTCATAATTGCTCTAAATGTATGAAAAACATACTGAAACTTGTTCATGACGACTACATTTCAATTTCATCTGCCTAATGGGAGGTAATTCAAGTTGTTGGTGAGAATTAAGCTGTTTTCAAAGGATTGGTATCGATTGGAAAACTGTTCTAAAGTATGTTACAGATAGAAAATAGCTCAGTAACAATCACAATGTATTTAGACTGAATTTCAGGGTAACTTGAATAGTTTAATGTCCAGTATCCATGGTAATAAAGTTTTTTGAATTTTAAATAAATTCTCTATTTTGATTTTTTTCACTACATGATGTTTGTGAATTTCTCATAGATTGAGTTTACAGTCATGACAGTACTGTAAATAAATGATATTTCCATAGTAACAGCTGAAACAAATAGTATATGTTGGATGCTGGTACAGTTTCTGATAGCCATAGTGAAAGAATGGTTGAGGTGGTAAGCATGGTTCATTGTGATTTCAAACACATGACATTTAAGGATCTCTGATGTCATATCATTATTCATTACTTCCGAGCAACGTGTCACATGACACCTTGAATTTTTTGTGGGATTTCTAGCCTTCATTATGACATCACAATTCATTGGTTATGACATCAATAGCAAGTGATTACATCATAGTACTGGTTATGTCACAAGTTACTATGACGTCATGAGTTACTATGACTATCCTAGTATCACTCTATTATTCAGTAATCAGAGGTGTAGCAATAATGTAAGCTTGTATGCTTAAGCTTTATTCTATTGAGATATTTTTACTTAGAACTGTTTTTACTTTATTTTGCACATAGAACCCGACCCAACCACCAGGGATCTGCGCCTGGACCCTCTCTTGAAAGCATACACTCCTAAAAAATATTTGCTACACCTCTGGTAATTAACACAGAAACACGAACTACTCAATTCATTTTGAATTGCAATTTTATTCAAGAAACCTGCGCGTCAAATGATCTCGGTCCCTTTAATCCTAATTCATGAGCTAAATTGGTAAAAAGAGACCATACGAAAAAATCCTTACTACTCTGTAGCTATTGGAGATACGTAGCATAGTAATGTATCATTTTGTTTGTCTTTTCTTTTTCTAGACACTAGATTTCAATGATACATAAATTTGCTGTTCTGGTTATTGAGAAGAAGTTACATATGACCCCTGTGACCTTGGAGAAGGGTCAAGGTGATTCATTTGAACAAAGCTGGTATCCCTTTATCTCAGCATGCTGCAGTGCAATATCAGCACCCTTGGCCTTTTGTTATCGATAAGAAAATGTTAAAAGACCTGCAGCTAGTACCTGGTGACTGACACACATAGGCCTCGAACCTGCGACCCAAAGGTGCAGGGCTAGTGGCCATTGTGTCACCCATGTTACACAAAACATTGACATTTCACTACACATCAAACCTCTGGAAAAAATAAGCAACAAGAGTGAAAGAAATATTGTAAATAGCAACTTGTGTAAACTCTGGATACTTTATCTGCAATTTGTATATCGGAGTCTAAATGTTTGAAATAATCTCAATAACTTGTACTTCAGAATTCTGTGTAAATACTTTCTGCTTCATCTGACTTGCAATATTGAAGGTACGGACAAATCCTGATTATAAAGATGCTGCAGTCAGTGAAGAAAGACCATGGTAAGAAGAATCTCAAAATATTTTTTGTCAAGTATTACGACCATCCCTCTCCCTATCGCCATCTTGTAGTAAGTACGCAGGTCTATAGCAGACTACACCCCTGTCATCTCTGTACTGTAGAATGGGGTTTGGATGGGTGTTGTCCTGGCTCCCCAGAGAAGTGTACCTGTCAAATACAAAAACAAAGAGCATAGATACACAAGGCTGAGTAAGTGCGGTACAGCCTCAAAAGTTTATCATCAATTATTACTAATTATTGGTTAAAAATGGAAGCACGCAAGAACTCTTACTAAGGGAGGGAACTGGAGTATCAGAAAAAACCTATGACACTTAAGCTTTTGCCTAGGTGAAAAGCAGTTGTATTACCACTTAATTAACGAAACATCCTATTTGTGAGTTTTTTTAATGAATGACCACTCTGCTAAGAAGATGTATTTTCTTTGTAAATTCAATATAGAGTATTAACTGACCCTTGGTCATATAGACTGCAGTAGTCGATGTAGAGTGACCGCAGAAAGTACCACACATCAGAGTAGGACCAGTCCAATATTGGATTAACTCTCATAAACTTAGGCCAATCAGGGTCAGTCCAAGCAAATCCCTCCAATTGACCTGTATCAAAAAACAGGATGTCACTACAATTTACCAAGTAAAGACACAAGAATACATATCAGCACATTAACCAATATCAGTTAAACATTTTTATACCTGTTAATACTTTTATTTTGTTACTTTATTTTTTTTTAATTTCTGGCGACCCCACTTTTGGGAGCAGTCAGACATTTCTCTCAACCCTCTTTCTTAAGAGTGTTACTTTTTTGTCAAGCTAAGTTAGTGTTGCCTTTCTATAAAAAAATCTCACTAAGGATAGACTTACATTTCTGTCAACCCTACTTCTTTTAGAGTAGGTATCACATTTTTGATAACCCTAATTTTTTTGGATACTGTTACATTCCTAATAACCCTCCATTTCTGGGATAGTGATGCATTTCTCTTCACCCTAATTTTTTTAGATACTGTTACATTCCTAACAACCCTCCATTTCTGGGATAGGTAATGTCACATTTTTTTTAAATTGAATTAATGCTGTGCTGAGGAAAGTTGCAATAAGCAAACCTACACCACATACTGTATTGACAGAGAGAACATTACAAACACGTAACACAGGTATTTTGTCACCATGTTTATTACCCATTTGGGATATCATTATTAGTTTAACAGGGTTGAACAAAATCTGTGACATACATATCACCAACACCATGCAGGCAGGATAATCAAGATGTCTACATGTTGTCATAATGTTAAAGATGATTGAGAGTCACTGGTAACAACACTGATATATGATATACCAAATAGCCGTCACATATTTGTTGACATAAAATTTGCAACACCTTCACATACAAATAACAAACCAAAATATGTAAACATCTAATTTCACTATGAAGTTTTTTTTCTAAAAATATCTAAAATGTACAAGTAAATAACACTGGGTCATGCCCAATAAGCATCACTAAGGCAAGAGATAACCCCTGCCATGAAAAATAACACTGGGTCATGCCCAATAAGCATCACTATAACCCCTGGAAAAGGCGAGGACAAATTCTTTCCTGAAGAGGGATTATGTAACCCTGGTAAATACTAGCCATAGTATACCAGTAGCCAGAAGTCCTGGGTTCAATTTCTAGCAGAGACATTAAAATGAAAAGTGACCTTTGTTACATACATGGCCATAATAAACTCTTACATTCACCACGACAAGAACAAACAAAAACACCTTGAAACACTTCTCTTTCAGCAAAAAAAAAAAATTTGTAATCTATTTAAAATTTAAATAAAAAGGTCAAACTATATCAATCATATAACAAGGAATTTATTCATATCGAATACATGTATCTTAAAAGTACATGTATTTTTCAGTTTTGCATTAACTTCTCTCAGACATTTCCTCATCGTTGTCAATTTAGCTTTACTATATGTATAATATGTAGAGTTCACTTACTTCCGCGTGGGTCAGTATTTCTGGTACCCATAATAATCGCCTCGATGTTTGAATGTTTGTGCCTTAGCTCACGAAGACAATCTTGAGTTCTCCCTTTTAAGATAATTCTATCCAAATTGTACCTGGTTAGAATGAAAATCGGAAATAACACAAACTTTCCATCAAAATCAATATTTAGCATCTTTTTACAATTTTTTTTAATATAATCAATCAATTCTTTCATACAATTGTCATGTTCAATATGAAATTTAGTATTAAGCTGTCTCTATTTCACGATAAAAAAAATCAGGATATTTTAGAAACATGCCAGTTTTGTTGATTTCACACATAAGTCACCTAAAGACTGACCATACAGTATTAGTAAATTAATAAATTATCAGAATTTGCAAAGATAAATTCTAGTTGATACAAATTTATGATTATTAAAAAAAAAAAAAAGATTTCATATATATTCATATTTCTGACAATTGCAATTAAAACTGAAACACAAGAATTACATATCTATCACACAATTATAACTCTGAAACATTTTCACCTGTCGCTTGACATCTCAATAAATTGTTCCACTTCTTGGAAGGGCTGTCCACTTCTTATATAAAGTGCTTTCAATTTGTCTGTATGATCTGGATGTTTTCTGTGAAATTAAAAGACATCAGATGGTAAAATGTATAAAAGTCTACATAGGTACAAAATACTCTTAAAGAATATTACAAAAATTTTGACCCATTTGGACAGAACTGCCCGTGTAATGGAATTACGACAGCTATGAAGATGATCCCTTTTTTTTCCATTAAAATCCATGTTTTCAAAACCATGAACGCACTTGAATTTAGTATGCGACTATGTTAGAAGAATCAGGGGAAAATATTATCAAGGGGGAATAACTTATACATTGAGATTAAATTGCAGACAATTTAAAGATCCTGAGTAGAATTTGTACAGAAGTATCCATAGGTAACCATCTTTTCCCATAGGTACAGTATAAAGTTTGTCCTTTGGACCAGGTGTGCTAAAAATGGATTGCTATTAAACACTGTCGTCCACACATTATCTATAAGTGATTTTTGGTCTATTGAATTTATATTATTTTTTAAATTTTTATTTCAATTTCCAATTCTACAGACCCGGAGGTCCACTTACAGAATGGATAACAAATAGAACACAAATATAAATATCACAGTCACATGAAACAGAACTATTAAATGTACAAAATATGGAACTATAGGTAAAGGGCATTCATGAGTCGTGCTTTAAAGTCGGTGAGAGACAAATAAAACATATCACAGTCTGAAACAAGACCAAGAGAGTTAAAATTTGACTAAGTTCTGTTTAAAACACTATATTTTCTAACATTTAAATGACTTCTCTGGCAGTAAAATTGAATTGAAAGAGTAGATCGTAGATTACGACCAGGTACTAAAAAACACATTTGCTATACTAAATATGGACAATCAAAAACACTGTTTACACATTTGAAAAGAAATACATTGTCTTAAAAAATAATCGTCTATGTTCCAAGCTGGGGAGATTAAAATACAAGTTTCAGCGTAAGACAATGAATTGAAGTCAACATGTGCCTTAAAACATAAAAATCTCAAAAACTTTTGCTGAACAGCTTTGATTTGTTAAATTAAAGAAGTTTGGTGTGGTGACCAAATCTGACAACAGTATTCTAACTCCTTACAAGGCTAATGTATAAAGATTTTAAAACATTAACTTGGGTAAAACTTTTACATGAATGTTTAATAAAACCGAGCAATCGCATGGATTTAGAAACAGTATGTCTGATATGTTTGCTAAAACTCATTGTAGAGGTAAACCATACACTCAGATCTTTCACACACGTTTCATTCTTCAGGAACTCGCCACCCATAGCTATAATTAAAATATAAACATTTTTTCTTATCATATTATTTCTTGTAAATACGATGTATATTCAAATCCATCTTAAAATCCTAGATCTTACCTTTTGACGACTGCATGAAATAAATATAATACGGCCGTGCAATCTTTACCACCGTTGAATCCGATACAAGTTTTTTCTAAACTGAAAAAAGGAAAAAACAAGAGAATTATGAGAGTCTAATCAATTCAGTAACATTATGAATTAAAAATTTCCCGACAAATCAGACAAAGGATGTCAAGTTCAGGAAATTTAATTTGGATGTAATTTACATCTTTACAGATATCTTTGTTCCGAAATATGTCACTTGTTCTACATTTCAAGCGATTTAATCAAAATGACTAGAAAATTCTTGAATACAACACCAATGTAAAACCCTTAATTCAATGTAACTCAAATGTATGCAATATTTTCAGGACAATATTTTTCCAGATTGGTTCAGTTTTTGAATAAAGATAATTTTTTTTTATCTTATAATGAAGTCAAAACCAAGAAACACTACATACCGAAAACATGCTAAAATGCTGTTGGATCCCATTTTTCTACTTCTCACAGAAAATAAATTATCTCTGATTTTTGTACTAATTTGAAGACTTCTGGCAGAACTATATTAAATTGTACTGTTTCAGAATGATGATCACATTGACAAGCTACAAACAAAATAAGGTCCTTTAAATTACCTATATCTTCCTAGACTTTGTTCAATTATGCCGATGGAATGTTGAAGTTTATCTCGGAATTGTGCGTCTACTGTGTGAGATTGGAGAACACTATAGACTCTTTCTGCTGCATAAGCAACCACATCCATGTCAAAGTTCACCACCGAACCTAGAGAACAGAAATTGAAAGAAAATCTGCCATAGACATGAAAAATACACAAATCGCAAAACTCTATATTCTTTAAGTTTCAAGGTCAAACGCCATTCTTACAAATTGACAAAGATATACAATGTCTACTGCAATGATGAAAAATATTAAACTTATGTTTATTTGTCAAACAAACACATATATGACAAACACTATATATTCAGCTTGGTAGAAAATAACCTTATTTTACCTAATAAGTAAACCTAACATTACGTATACCCCTTCCCCGTTTTTTTGCAACATTTTTATTCAGGTCAACAAATGTTAATGTTAAGTACATGATATTACTGGTATGAGGAATACATTCCACTCGTATTGAAAACCTATGCATCAGACACGTATACAAGTTCATTGAGTTTCATAGTGTGTATGGAGGATCTCATTCGAGATATTATATTACAGGTCCCCTATCTAATGCGAGTACCATTTGGTTTTCACGCCTGAATGCAAACAAACAACTTTGATGAATCAGATCAATTATCTGCGTTTTCTTCAGTATATTTTGAGTGAGTTTGTGATAACATGAATATCTAATGTCAATATTAAATAGAAACTTGAATATGGATACGATATCAATATAATATGAGAGGTTTTAATAAGCATACGGATTAATATATTCATATTTTACAAATTCTGATCTGGTTTTAACATTCTGAGAAAAAAAAGACTGAAGTTGGCATTTATACAATTAATACATAAAATAAACAATTTACCTGCCAGCAATGCTTCTGACATTGTTATGATGATATCATGTTAGAATAATGACTGCAAATCCAGGCTAACTCAAGATAAAAGACGTATGCAGTGCTACACATTTACAGTGTACACAGGTGGGCACAGATAGACTCTACCTATACATTAGAGGCCAAATCTGAGGCCACTTGAAATACAGGTAAATGTGATATTGTCGCTGTCTTATGAGTCACATCAGGCCAGGGTATCATTCCCATCAGGTACAAAAGGTACATTTTGTATGAGTGTTTCTGTGTGTACATGTTTCTATGGTAACAGTACAATGATGTATCTAACCTGTATCGCTCACCTGGATATCTAAGTAAATAATGCAAAACTTTACATTTCTTAAGAAGGAAAATATTTCCCCTCATGAGCCTCACTCCACAGATACAGCTTCACATTCCCTGTGAAATGGGGACACAGATCAGTTGTTGATCTTTTGATGTCAGCAATGCTATTTAGTTATGGGATAGTGATATCAATGGCTTTAATAATATAATCTGCTTCACATCAATATTTGGACAATATCATGCGTTTCCTAAAGAACAAGATGGACTTTAAAGAAACAGAAGGATTTTCCCTATTGGGCTCTGCCCTTTTGGCCCTAGGGGCCAGTCCAACCATTTATACAAAACTGATTTACCTTCACCGAAGCATGTTTTACATCAATTTTAAGACAATATACTGTATTTGATAAAGAACAAGATAGATTTAACAGGAATTGATAGATCTTCTCTATTTGGCTCTGTCCCTTTGGCCCCAGGGGGCCCTGAGACCCACATCTTTTAAAAACTGATTTCTCTTCACCCAAGCATGCTTCAGAGCAAAATATGAACAATATCCCGCAATTCCTAAAGAACAAGATATATTTTTAAGAAATTGATGGATTTTTCCTATTGGGACCTACCCCTCAGCCATGACAAGATCAGACCCACCATTTACATACCTTATATTGATGTGTTGCGAAAACATAAAAAAAAACAATTTTTGAACTTGTTTGGCTTGGGAACCATCAGTGTCCGTACTGTTAAATATTGGCAAAGGTGCTAAGGCCTTGGCACGCTGACAAAATTCTTATAGTCTCATTATTTCTTGTAAGTTACACAACGCCATTCTTAATGTAAACAAGCATGACGGTCATTCTAGAAATTGATCCAACTATCTATCGATCCCAAGATGCAACAGCCCATTGTAAACTTCCATTATGGCTTTCAAAGCAAAAATGAAAAGTTCAAATATAATTGTGATTCATATTTAAAAGTATGATTATTTAAATCCATGAGGATGTCTTTTTATTTTTTCAATCTTAAAATCATCCTGTATATGATTGCAAATGACAGTTCTAGTCGATCTAGCTGTTTCAGTGACAAACACATGATGGACAGGTACTCGTAAAAAACTTGGTACAAATTTTCTATTTATAGAATCAGCGACTTTAATTTTTAACTTTCACATCAAAAAGCAAGCAAAATCACTAAGAGAGCACTGTCTTAAATCTGAAGTCTGCACTGAATTCTTTGAGTAAGAACTGTGCTAACTGAAGAAACAAATTGTCTATTTAAAGTAGAAGAGATCTCGACATTTGATCATGTACTCCTTATAAAACAACAATGAGTAAAGTTTGAGTTTCCTCAGAGAACTCAAGTAATTTGTCTGGGTATTTGAAACTGAACTACTACAATGTAATATTTGGCACTGGACTACTACAATGTGATATTTGAAACTAGATTACTACAATGTAATATTTGGAACTGGTCTATTACAATGTAATATTTGGAACTGGATTACTACAATTAATATTTTGAACTGGCCTATTACAATGTAATATTTGGAACTAGACTACTACAATATATTATTTGGAACTGGACTACTACAATGTAATATTTGGAACTAGACTACTACAATATATGATTTGGAACTGGACTACTACAATGTAATATTTTGAACTGGACTACTACAATGTAATGTTTGGAACTAGACTACTACAATATATTATTTGGAACTGGACTACTACAATATATTATTTGGAACTGGACTACTACAATGTAATATATTAAACTGGACTACTACAATGTAATATTTTGAACTAGATTACTACAAAGTGATATTTGGAACTGGACTACTACAATTTGATATTTGAAACTAGATTACTACAATGTAATATTTGAAACTAGATTACTACAATGTGATATTTGGAACTGGACTACTACAATGTAATATTTGGAACTGGACTACTACAATGTAATATTTTGAACTAGACTACTACAATGTAATATTTGGAACTGGACTACTACAATGTAATATTTTGAACTAGACTACTACAATGTAATATTTGAAACTAGATTACTACAATGTGATATTTGGAACTGGACTACTACAATGTAATATTTGGAACTGGACTACTACAATGTAATATTTTGAACTGGACTACTACAATGTAATATTTTGAACTAGACTACTACAATGTAATATTTTGAACTGGACTACTAAAATGTAATATTTTGAACTAGACTACTACAATGTAATATTTTGAACTAGACTACTACAATGTAATATTTTGAACTGGACTACTAAAATGTAATATTTTGAACTAGACTACTACAATGTAATATTTGGAACTGGACTACTACAATGTAATATTTGGAACTGGACTACTACAATGTAATATTTGGAACTGGACTACTACAATGTAATATTTGGAACTGGACTACTACAATGTAATATTTGGAACTGGACTACTACAATGTAATATTTAGAACTGGACTACTACAATGTAATATTTGGAACTGGACTACTACAATGTAATATTTGGAACTGGACTGAAACAAAACCAAATAAAGCATATAACTTCATTAACTGATCACAATAAACGTATCTACACATCAATGACAAAGAATGGGTTTGAAAATTGATACTGGCAATGTGTTTAACCTAGAAAATTACCCATACGTTTCTGATACTTTTTCACAACCAAACAAACTGAAGTTTGTATGTTTTTGAAGAGTTTAGATTAAGGTTTGGAAAATACAATTCATATATACAAGAAAGGAAGAGGAAAACAAGAGGCCCATAGGGCCTTATTGCTCACCTGGATTTTGAAAGCCAAGCAACAGTAAACATGCCTATAGATTGGATATTTCAAATACTTCCAAATCAAAGCTGAGATCAGGCTTAACCAAATAGGTGAAGTTTTATATCTTATTTCTCTTTTCATTCCCAAAAAGAGTTTAAATGGTTATCTAGTTGGAATTCCAATTATGTCAAAAATATGACCTAGAAATAATGTTCGTAGAGGTGTGCCACACCCAAAGGTCAATTCTGACATTATGAATGTGTTTATTTCTTGATGCCAAGCAATTTGGTATGTTCTTGGGAGGGATTCCAACTGTTTCTAGGATATAACCCAGAAATTAAGTCCAGAAGGGTAGGGCCACACCTAACAGTTGTAACATTGTAAAGGTGTTTATCTCTTGATGCACAATTCTGCATGTGATTACGGGCAGGGGATTTCAACTGTTTCAAAGATGCCCAGAGGGCATGTATCACTCACTGGATATTTAAGTCAAAAATGCAAAACTTTAGATTTCTTTAGAAGGGAAATATTTCCCCTGATGAGCCTCACTACACAGATACAGCTTCAAATTCCCTAGGGTTGCGGACAGAGATCAGTTGTTGATCTCTTGATGTCCAGCAATGCTATTAAGTTATGGTATGATAATCTCAATGGCTTCAAAGATTAATCTGTGCTGGGGTGGAACCAGACCCCAGGACAAATGATCAGTGATGATTGTGTTTATTCTCCTTATGCTCAGCAATGCTGTAGTTGTTCAGTGGTGGGGATCACAACTGTTTCAAGACAAAGATCCAGATTAATGGCTGATAGTGCAAAGCAATGATATGAAAATAAACAAAATCTACTTGGGGTTAGACTTTCCCTGTTGGGCCCCACTAATCTGGCCCCAGAGAGTGGAAATCCAAACTTTATTCAAAACTGACTTCCCTTTACCTAAGCATGCTTCACACCAAATTTGGACAATATGTTAAACATTCCTGAAGAATAAGATAGATTTAAAAGAAACTGATAGATTTTTCCCTATTGGGCCCTGTTCCTCTGGCTCCAAGGGGTCGAGATCCAAAATCTTATACAAAACTGATTATCCTAAGGATGCTTCTGACCAAATTAGGTCAAAATATCATCAGTGGTTCATGACTAGTAGCATATTGTAGAAAATGTTGACAGATGCTGGAAACCGTGGTATCCCTATATTTCACAAGGCACTTCAGGCCACGAGAACGGAAAAAATATAAGATGGACAGGAAATCTAAAGACTGAGGAAGCAGTACATAGTTTCTCTGTGTTGCCATGGGTGATAGTTTTGTTGAATAGATTACCCCATTATAAAGGTTTTCATTGAAATTTAGAAAATAAATCCTTGCTAAAATTGGTCGTGTCATGTTAAAATTGACAATGAGTGGTTTCCGTTTTTCCAGAATAATATTTTAGTTTTGTGTTGGAGATTACTATTTGGGGATTTTCAGATCTGTGTCTAAAAACCAAAAACTAGCTTTACAGGAAGCGAAATTTTCAAAGTGTTTACATGTGGTCATGTTGTGAAGGATTTCCAAGTTGGAATTTGCTGAAATGTAAGCAGTTTGTTACCATGACAGTATTGATGATTTTAAGACAGGTGTTCAGAAATAAATTTCTTCTACAAAGTTGTAGTGTTTGGTTGAAATTAGCAGCATTTTTGCATTTTAGTATTTTTTCAGTTGGTAACCATGGCAATAACATGTCAGAAATCAGAGGAAAGTTTTGATTTAGATAAATTTTATCTCTCTACCTTTAATGCAATTGTTATGTAGTTTATAAATATATATACATGTAATGGTGTATTTTTCATAACTAAACTGCTATACCTGTATATCTCAAACAAAACTAATAATTTCAGGAAAAACGCAAAACTGTTTCCAGCTACCTGAGAAGGAGAGAACAGAATGTGTTTAACATTATGGTAGTTTGTTTAATACATGCTTTTATACTGGTAATTCATGTTATTTCAAATATTTACATTAATATGACCGCTGGATCCCCAGTGTAATGACATTGAAGTTTGACATTTTCCTTGGGTTAATGTGTAAAAACATATATTCAAGTACACTGTATGTTGTTTAGAATAAAAAGATAGGTGAACTCATTAACATTCATATAGTCAGAATAAAAGCACTGGCTTGTTAATATAAATGTGTTTACTTGTTATTTGCGAATGACATTGCCTGATATTTTGTCCAGAGTGATTGTTTTACCCGAATTTGTTTTACCTGCCACCTGCATTTTTCGAATAACCAAAAAAAAACATAGTGTTTATAAGTTACTCTTTTAATAACCAATGGTGTTTGACAAGTTGCCACCAGCTCATGCTGTTTGACCAGTTGCCACCAGCTCGTGGTGTTTGACTAGTTCGCACTAGCTCATGGTGTTTGGCCAGTTGCCATGTAAGAAATCTTGGTGTTTGACTAGTTCCGACCAGCTTATAGTGTTTGGCCAATTGCCATGTAACAACTCTTGGTGTTTGACTAGTTCCCACCAGCTCATGGTGTTTGGCCAGTTGCCATGTAAGAAATATTTGTGTTTGACTAGTTGCCATCAACTTGTATTGTTTGGCCAGTTGCCAAATAACACACAGTGGTGTTTGGCCAGTTGCCACAATCTCATCGTGGTTGGTCAGTTACTCTGTAACAACCAGTGGTGTTTGGCCAGTTGCCACCAGCTCATTGTGTTTGGTCAGTTGCCATCAGCTCATGGTGTTTGGCCAGTTACCATGTAACAACCAATGATGTTTGACTAGTTGCCACCAATTTATGGTGTTTGGCTAGTCACCATGTAGCACACAGTGGTGTTTAGCCAGTTGCCACAAACTCATGGTGTTTGGTCAGTCACTATGTAATAACCAGTGGTGTTTGACCAGTTGCCACAAGTTCATGGTGTTTTTCACTGGCTTTGTTACAACCAATTGTCTCTGGACACTTGCTGTCAGTTCACCCCATGGTGTTTATCAGCTGCTATGTAGCTATTAATGTTGCTTGGCCAGTTGCTCCTAACTCTTAGTGTTTATTAATTGCTATGTACATTTCAGCAATTAACTCACAGGTTTTTGCAGTTACTCTGTAACTATAAAATCATTGTGTTTGACCATATTCTCTGTAGTTTCAAGTCTTCTCTCAACCAGTAGCACTGATTGATAATACAGTTAAAACACTCACCAAATTTTGATAATGCTAAAGAAAAAACACTGAAATTGTACATATTCCAACACTTTGTTTCTTACTTACAACTTCAAAAGTAACTTACCTTTGGGAAGTTTATCTATAAGATTTTGCTTGGCTTGTCTTAGAATGCCTGCTTCTTTTGCCTCCAATGTCAACTTCACTTTGTAATACCTGGAATCATATATCAGATAAAGTTTGTTAGTGAGTACAATTCAAATTCACTCCAATACTTCAGAATGGTTGTATAAAGTACAATGATTAAAACTAGTTGTTCAATAGTTCAGTGTTTTTCTCTACAAATTTCGAAACTTGAAGAAAACAAAGATTTAGTCATATGAAGATTACAATGCTACAATGGCAGAATTTGATAAATTTCAACTTAATCTTTTGAAGAATTGATGACAACCTGATACATAAGCTTTCTAAAATAAATGGAGACACATGAAGATGCAATCATGCTTGAATACACAAAACCTAGCTCATCTTTTATCTTCATGCACTACAAAATCCTATGTTGATGGTCTCTAGATGTATTATTGGACCAAGGTATCTTTGAGGTAAGACCTATGTGGGTTGTAAGCTTTTATTGTGCCTCCACATATTAACAAACACCTACAGCCTTACTTTGCCTTTTTAAATACAGTCAAACTTCGATAATTCGATATTCAAGGGACCGTCATAAAAATATTGATACATCGGGACTTCGATACAAAAATAGTTCAGTCAAATAGCTGGTCCACGTAATAGGGGTCCGTATTTAAAAGTTTTTTTCATTATGTTTTAGACAAAAGATAACAATTATGTGTGTATTAATGATTTAAATAAAGACTCAACAATCAAAAACAGTTAAATTGAATTTTATTACGACCAAACAACAATAAATAACATGAAACATTCGAAGTACATGGCAATGAAGTATCACACGTAAATGACGAAATGGGTAAATGTATTTTACGGAACAGAAAAATCACATGTCACGAAAAGCACGAAATTGGCACTGTCAGTTATTTAGTACTCTTAAACACTATCACCATTAGCACTAAAACACAAATAACACATTAATCAGTCACACTTAGAAACAGTTCCAAAGAACTCACTCAGGGTACACTGTTTTCTCTCGAGGAGGAAATACTGTTGGATGGAATAACTGACGTCGGCAAACTGTGAGGCGGCTGAGTCTGTATTATTCCCGATGCCAGTCTGCTGGAGAAAATCTCGGACTGTATCTAGGGCGTTACTGTTCAAACTAATTATTGGTCATTGACTAATTGTATACAAGAGGTGGTAAAATGCCATTGTCCTGATCGACCGTAACGGTAAACAAAAGATTAACGCTGGAGGGTCTCGCTACAGGTGTGAATTTGTTTCGGTCGACTGACCATCGAGCACAGTGACCACAGGTAAATTTTTTTGGTCGATTTATTCATGGTGATTTTGAACGAATTTATATGACTTGTACTGTAGAAAATTATCGAAACACCGAGAATATCGAAACATAAATGATCGATTCATGAGTAGTGAGTTAAGTAGAAATATATAAGGAAAATAGTCGGGGCCAAGTAAAAATATCGACACAGCGAGAATATCGAATCATCGAAGATCGATTCATCAAAGTTTGACTGTATATGCAATCAAGAAGCAACAATGATATTGTGAAAAAGAACCCACAATGGGCCAAAACTAAACCAGAAATCCCTGGTATTTTAAAAACAAATAAAACAGTTATAAAGTCATTTTCTTTCACTGTTACTACAAACTGATTATCTTATATTCAAGTGATTAGAGGTCTTCTTTAATACTGAAAAGAAACTTTAAAAAAATCATGCTTTCAGTGGTAAAATATTACCAAATGAGTGTGAGCTCATAGCTCTACTAATAGTTAAAAAATTGTATCTACCTGTACACATCCTGATTGTTACAAATAACAATCCACATGTAGATATAGAGTATGTAATACGTAGTGAGTGAATGACAGATCAAACAATTTTATCCTAAAATGTGTTTTCCTTCTAAATGAGGTTTGGAATAAGAATCACAGATTCAATACAGTTATCAAGTATCTCTACCTGTTTGTGAAATCAGGGTAAGAGCCAAGAATTATCTCCTTTCTATGCTTGTCATTGAAGTCATTGAGCACCGACGTGATGGACACCTCATCCTTGTCCACATAAATCTCCTCTGTGTAACGCTTTCCAGCAGAGTTCTTAAACAGGTCCTGTAATGTACCAGCGATGATTAAAGTAACATCAAGCAACTGATAGTAATTACAATTCTCATTCACGTATGTTTGTATTTGCCACTAATGTGTTATTACAAGAAAATGTGACACTGATACACTTGTTAGATGTAGCTTGAAGCACATTTGTTATAATTCAATAGAGGCATTAATATTGCCAAGTTTTCTTTAGGTTTACCTCCAGAGTGACGAAGGATCGCTCTAAAATTGACGGAACTCCGGGGAAAACACACACATTCTTCATCACCACTGTTGGAAACTTATTCTTCTCCCCTGTTTTTTTGCTGATACCATAGACCAATCTGGCAGTACTTGGAACCTTACAGAACAGAAATATCCCCAAAGTCAAGGCAAGTTCAAAACTATAACAGGACTTTTGTTTTTTCAGGGTTGAACCCCACTCTAAACAACCAAGGTTATAAGATGAAACCTGTGTAGATGAGCATCAGCAGAGTACAAAAAAAATGTAGACATACATGTATGTATGATGATGATGAAATACATGTTTAAGGAGACATTATATGTATGATGATGTATGTGCATGTATACATGTATGGTGATGATATGTATGAGGATGATGATGATGATGATATACATGTAAGATGATGTATGTGCATCTATGAATGGATGATGATGAATGGATGATGATGATGATGATGATGACGATGATGATGATGATGACGATGACGATGACAATGACGATGATGATGATGATGATGATGATGATGATGATGATGATGATGATGATGATGATGATGATGATGATGATGATGACGATGATGATGATGATTCCACTTGAGTGAATGTGTGGTGTATGGTTGTTGATCTGTGTGATGTATATGTATTAAAAATCTTTGAAAAAAAAATTACTAAAAAAAACCCCAAAAAATTGTTAACAGACACAGCACACAGGAAAGAAAGGAAAGCAAGATTGCATTTATGTCAAGTGTTGCGCTGATCTACAATTTCCTAGATCATGTTACCAGATCCTGTTTTAAGTATACCCATTTCACAATATCAACATTACTAAATTTCTGCATTTTCCTAAGCTAAAGAAGATAATAACATGATATAGATCCAAGATTTCCTAAAATGATTTATCAAATGTCTTAATATCTGAATTGCCCACTGTATATATAACATGTCATTCTTAACTCACCATCGCTAACTTCATCATAGGGGAAGACATGTTATCAGGCCCAAAATATTCTTTGCACAATTTAACAATATCAGGGTTAGGGGAAAGCTTGTCTCCAAAGGCCTGAGCCACGCCTGTATAAAAGTAATAATCATGATAAAAAAACCATTTTGTTTATTTTTGGACAATGATCTAGACTGTTTCAAATTTTGTTATAAAAAATATTAATTTAGTCAGAGGATAAATTCATTCAAAAGTAAGGCAGAAAGAGGATAATTTCATTAAAATGAGAGGCAGAAAAAATAATTTTATCAAAAGCAGAGGCAGAAAGAGGATAATTTCATTAAAAAGATAAGCTAGGAAAAAATATTACTACCATTACATTAGCACCTTAAAATCAAACTTTGTATAATATACATACCCTCAAATGTGACATCATCATGAGTAGGTCCTATACCCCCTGTTGTGATCACATGAGTAAATTTCAGAGAGAAATCTGTTATTTCTTTTGCTATTGTTTCAATGTCATCACCAACAATAGATATCTGAAAAGTGAAGTTATATTTCAGAAAGAATGGGCAGACAAAGAATTGTTTTCCTGATCGTTTAAAAAAAGTAATTTCTAATTTTATCTCTCTTTCACTGGCAACTGTTTGTCATTATTAAAAGATAGATATGACAATGACTATGTTCAGACTAGGATTTGAAAGAAAGGGCAGAATGCTAACCAAAACAAGCAATCTAGTGTTTACGATAAAATAAAGATACAGAGAAAGAGGTCTACTCAAGCATAGCGTAAGTTGGTATGCCAGGTTTACAAAATGGGTTAATTCTACAGACTTCAGCAATATTTCTATCAACCAAAATTATCGTATGACGTCATCAGGAACTCCAAGTCGATTCTTATTGGTTAGAATTGGGAGTTTTCTCAAAGAAGCGGGAGGGATTCCCCAAAATCGGGAGATATTGCTGTTTTATGACTCACGATCGGGAGTCGGGAGACGGGGTGAAAAATCGGGAGGCTCCTGCCTAAATCGGGAGGGTTGGCAAGTATGAAAAACTGGCAGGATGGTCAGAAAGAAAACCACTGTATCCAAAATGCTGGTGGAAGATGTTCAGAAAAAACGGCAAGGAACAATCTAATTTTTGAAAATGAGATCAAGGTGCTACATCCTGGTGTCCCATTTAAATTGTCATGAAAATGCATACATTGCCCAGCAGCATTTTTAAGAATAACATTTTCCTAAAGAAAATTTGCTGAAGCAGACATATATTGTATCATTTGACTAGCTACTCCAAACCAAGCTGGTCTAGCGTCACCAAAACACATTGTATCTGTATATGTACATAGTAAGAAGGTTATAAAATATATGTATAAGCCATAATATGATATTCTATTGCATGCATTTCAAAATCGAATTAACTAAGCAAATGAAATTTATAATTTAGAGCCTATATTCTTTATGTTTTTTACTTACACGTTTGACCTTTACTCCCCAGGAAAATAAATGTTCACAAATAAAGTGAGAGTTGGTGTCTGCAGTCTGTCCTTTCAATATTTCATCTCCAATGACTGAAATGAAATAAAAATATGAATCAAGTCCATATAAATTTAAAGATGTAAATGCAGGTGTAGAATTTATATCTGAAGACGACCCAATGGCCTATTTTGAATATATGGGTTTTTCAAAACGGGAAAGACACCAGGTTTAGTTTTATTTATGTGTAATGATTAAACTTTTCATTAAATCCTGATTTATAAGGTTTTATTTATTTTGTACCAAATGCAAATAAAAAGTTAATGAAGGTGATGGATCTAGGTAGAAGAGCCAATGGAGTTGTTTCCTCTTCTGTTTGATAGCCAGCAGTATACAGGATGATTGAGTAGTAGAAAAATAGGTGAGAGTATCATTATCACAGCAACATCAGGTCAGTGCTGTAGCTAGTCAGTGATATAAATGGTCATCTTGATATTTAGTGCAAAGCTACATTAAAAAAGATATTTCTTATCCAAGTATACACACAATATATTACTCAATGCAGTAATTACATGTAATACCATAATGCAGGGCCTTTGTCCAATATGAGGGATTGTGCCTACTCTAACGATGTGGAAGAAGGTCCAACACGACTAAAAAGTTTTAACAGACACCGTATGAATATATGATCAACTGCATACATATGGGAGAAGGTTTATGTTTTCAACCTGATCACACATCGCCGGACTAAGGGTTAAATGGATTTAAAAAAAACAAACAAACAAAGTGTTACCTATGATTCCGGCTGAACATTCATTTGAAGAGGCCATGAGGGATCTGGTTGTAGGGTTAATGTGATGAAAGATGTTGACGATGCGTCTTAGAGAGCGATGAGAATACATTCAGATATTTTTCAGTAACATTTCGGAAGAAGTGTTTTTTCTTTACATCTGGAGTTATCGTTCTTCACTTCCTGTAAACGGTGATGAACGAATTTCTTTCTAGATTAGTAAGAACAATTGTCTTTTGATTAAATACTTACATGGTCAACAATCGTGATTAGGACTGACACATAATTTGTAAGGTATATAATCAAACCTCATATTGAGTGTTGATGTTTTCCCCAGAATATCTTACATTTCAAGACTCTTACCGTGTTTGATTTTATCTTATTATGTTTCCTAAATTAGAACTATTTTCACTTTCGTTTTCGATTCGGATTTCCTCAAGATGTTTTTCATGTAACCTTGTTCAGTTTATTAACGAGTGTTTTCAATATTATTGTTATAATTGTGTCATTATATTTATGTATTAGTGTCAAATCTAATTACACTAATGATAATCATCTAAATATTGAACTTATACTTATCTTTACAGTGTTATGGTATATCAAGCTCCTTAATTACGTTATTTTAAGAAGATACATATTCAGTACATTGTATATGTATAACATAGCTCACCCTACATATGATGCAGAGGTACGTGGAGTACAGTTTTGAACTGCACTTTCATTCCTATTAATCTGTTCTACAAATCAATAATAACCACAATTAGATCTTTACTCTCTACACACTGCATACAACCAATAGTACATAAAAACGACATAAAATAAGAGTCTATAGTGGCAACTTGTAGATAGAGCTACATGTACATTTATATATACAGATATCAACCCCTACATTATCCTACTTTTATAGATAATAGTTACTTGAAATACATAATATTATACAATATTGGAAAGAATAGTTACTTACCAATAATACTGGTGTAGAATCAATACCCAGTTATTCAATCTCTCTGAGATACTAATAACCAGCCGTTCCCTCCAAAACCCAAACCTGTACTGCCCGACAAATCTAAACTTCCCAGTAAAAATCATACTTAACCATTCTTGTGTTCTACCCAATCAAAATTACCTACCCCAGGTCAGTGGACAGGTCAGTCACACGTCAATCTGTACCATTACCATATGTGGAAATGTCTTACCTGAACACTTCTTACTATATACCTAACCAAACCATTAAGGACACATGCCTCATGATTTTCTAAAATACTATATTTACTACCTATATTGCTCAATATATGAATTAATTAAATTATACTAATATCTGAATCATATCAGATATTACAATACATATAGCAATAAAAAAGATACATTATCTTATCCATGTCAGCAAATACAATGGTATAAAACATAACTTTAACAAACATTTAATAAAAGCAATAATTCACATAATTCACACCCTGTCACATTTAAGAAATCGAAATTCTTATGCTTTCTTCGATCCCGATGTGATGGAAGGCTTTTTGGTATTCGAAATAGGTGCTTAATTTCCGCCGACACCGGTTGCGTTATATATGTCAATAAAAAAAAGCATGGAAGGTGCAGGTTCTGGATCTAAAAAAGCGGTTTTGTTTATTTGTCTCGGTAAGATTTTATATATTATGCTATTAACACTTACATTAATAAGTATGCTATACTTGTGTTATACATATATGTTAGATATGTTAGATCACGTCTTACCAGAGACGTATCTGGTCTTACTCAGTATTTCCAAAGCAGTGCATGTACGTACAAATGTAAACATGGCACAATGTTGGCTTGTTACAAATCCATTTTGTGCATAATTTTAGCGGATTTCATCAAAATGTGTTCCTGCATCGTATTTGAATTTATTCTGCATTTGATTACTTCATTACTCAAAACACTGCTAGCGCTGTCACTCATAAAATGCATATCTGATTAAAGTTACACAAATATTGCAGGAAACATTTGCCGTTCGCCAATTGCTGAAGCCGTCTTTTTGGATTTGCTGAAAAAGAAAGGGCAACTTGATGAGGTGAAAACTGACAAAAAGTGTCAAAATAAAAATGTATTGTCTTGATCAACCATTATGTTGTGAGTCTGTTGTAGTTGTATTCCTAAAGTGATCTATATATAGTTCACGTGAGTATTTTTTTAAAGAAAAAGTAAAGCTCCCAGTAGGGAAAATGGTGTTGCACAATGTATAAGTTTATTATCAAACTGAATTTACAATGTCATATGTATTATAATGAATTATTTTTGTTTGTCAAGTTACAAGGAGTATATATCCTTGATTTTATTAACAAACTCAATGTCAAGTTGTTACATTTATAAGACAAAATGAAAATACTTAATGACTGACATTTCCAGTAGCCCTATGCATGAACAAATAAAATAGCCTTAAAGTAAAGTTACACTATTTATTTTACATATATACATCTAGAGGAGGAATGATAAAAAACCAGACTCAAAATGATCACTTATGATACATTGGACGTTTGAGATATTTTCATCTTATGGTACATCTTGTACTTTTAGATCAATGAAAGTTCCTGTTTACTTTGAGGAGATAATGCCATTCAGTGAGTGGTTGTCACTGAGGTTTGATTATGATATACATACCATTTGTATTGATTATGAGTGTTATACACACATTGTATAGTCTGTCCTTCCTTAGGTATCTATTATTTATTTATATCTAACTTTTGTAGCGAACATCAAATATAGGATTTTCAGATTTTAAACTTCCAATATACTCCATTTAACTTTTTTTCAATCATTTCTTCACTGTTTAAAATATATTTGTTTAACTACATGAAGCCAGAGACATATATTGTATACGTCTCTGATGTAGCTAAATCTCTTGTTAAGTAAATGGTATTCTCAAACCTAATATTTTTATTCACACAGTGGCATGTTGACAGTGCTGCTATAGGGGACTGGCATGTTGGAGGTCCCCCAGACAAACGAACAATGAAGACCTTGAAAAAGAAAGGGATAAACGACTACCACCATATTGTCAGACAGGTACCCCATGATACTTACTCTTTATGTTCGGAGGTTCCTCAGAGGATTGACACTTACATTTGATTTAAAGATTTGAGACAAGTTTTACCAAATTTTCAGATTTCAAATTTAACAATTTGAAGAGAGTAAAATAAATCAACATCTACTCATTACATCTTCTCTAATTGTTTTCCTCAATATTCTACATGCTAGATTTTTGTTTATCAGTCATCCATGACTTGTTGTTATTTTTTTTCTTCAAATTTACGATGTATTTCAATAAAATTCCATGAAATTGCAGGAACCATTTATTTCTTCAAAACAGCATTTTATTCACTGTTAAAATCTTACAATGAAAATGAAATATAAAACAGTTTTATGTTGTAAGGAGTTTGGTATGAGAAATCACATTTAATTGAACACTTGTCTATATAATGCTTGTGATTTCACACTACAATGTATAAAAATTGACACTGATGCCTGTACTTTGAATCCATGTGATCGACACCAGGAGCTAGAATATTTTCTTGTCAGGAGTTTTATTTATTCTTTTTGTTTTTACAATGAAAAACAAGTTCTGAGAAATTTGAAAAGATATCCTGTAAAACAGTACCACCTATGATATATATAATTATACTGCCTTACATACCAAGTAACTTATAAACCAGAAGAGTAAAGCCAACATCAGTTTGAAAGTAAGTAGGTTGACAGGGCTCTCGATCTGCCAGATTTCGGGCCGATATTCAGCCCCATTCCCAATGCAAAATAGTATCTTTTTTTCCCAATTTAGACCCCAGGTTTTCCCAATTCTAAGGAAAACACTACTAATGTTCCCAATTCTAAGGGCCGCGGGCCCCGGGCCCCAGTCCCTAAATAGGGTGTGAGAGCCCTGGTTGATCAATAGGGTGCTGCGCGTTGGGTATGGATACAGAAAAGTAAACAGGGTGACAAAATAACATAAAATAAATAAATCAATTTAGTTTCAATCACAACAATGAAGCATCGATTATGGAGGTGAAACTAGCCAGCCATTAAGTAAGCCACTGACTGGTGACCCTTTGGTATTTTGTGATTGAAACTACCTTGATTCAAGTAACTATAAAGTTATAATACATCAATGATAAAATTAATATTAAAAGTTCTGATAATTTTTGTAGTGTATAAAATTATCCCTTTACTAGTATTTCTAACTTTCCTGCTTATATTTACAAGTTATGCATATTTATTTCATGACAGTTGTCTTTCATATATACAGTGTACTATATTCCTTATTTATGACATCACATGGAGGTCCGGAACTCTCCCTAATATTACTCACTCTACATAATCCGAATGATCACCTGCATTTTGGTTTGACTTTCAGATTAATGTGGAAGACTTTTACAAGTTCGATGTTATCTTTGGTATGGATGAACAAAATATGAGGTAAGATACGCTCCGTCTGGATTTACCTTTGAGTATGAGGTAATGAGACAATGTTTGAAAGTTAAATGAAAAGCTACACTTCGTCTTTTGATGACTAGCAAATTGCTTATTTCATTCCATATACAAATGTCAATTACAGCTTGCTGAATGATTTTGATAATGCTTTATTATTGAGCGATCTCTGAATTTGGGGTGGAGCTACAATGTACAATTTACCTTTTCATATCTGCCACACTTCAGAGACACAAAACTGCAAATATTAAACTAAGTATAGTATACACACCATAGATTATTGAATATTTTGAATTGAATATTTTGAATTCAATTTATGCTATTATTTTGAGTATTTTTTAATTTGTTAAAATTGCATATTCAGCAAGAGACATGATCCTTTTATAAGGTCTATAAAAAAATAAACATACTTCTACAGATCCACTTAAAATAAAACAATCACATGACAAGTTTGTTTTTATCTGTTGAAAAAATTTGCTTCTTTTCCTGCATGCAAAAAACAAAATAAGTATTGTATTTCATTGTCATTGATTTATCTTTATAGTGACCTTGAAGACATCCAACCAAAAGGAAGCAAGTCTGTACTTGAAATGCTTGGAACATATGGTTCCAAATGCAAAACCACTATTGATGACCCGTATTACGTAAGTAAACTTTACTCTGTGAAGAAACCACAGGAAGTATAGGAAAATATTAACAATTTTAGTGTTAATGAGAATACTTTTATGGAATATGTTTCTGTGTCCATATGTTCATCCATCCATCCTTCAGCCATTGGCATGTTTGCAGACTTCTTGTGTTAAACTACTTTTAATTCATAATTTAACTCTCACATTGATGTGTACCGCTATACAGACATATATATTGTCTCTTAAAAGTATATTTGTAAGTAATTTGATGTCTGCATTACATTTGTAACATTGGTCCTATATAGATATCTGTTATATTCTGATTTTGTGCCTAATTTTTATCTATTTTCAGGGTTCAAGAATTGAGGATTTTGAGGATGTGTTTGATCAAGTAGTGAGATGTTGTGAAGCATACCTAAAGAAAAACGAAGAAAAAAAATCTTGACAGCTGAAGTTTGTTAATCAACTTTTAAGTTGATGTAGAGATTAAATTTGTTAACAGTCTTTTTCAGTTAATATAGATATGTGAGTTATCTGTACTGGTGAGATTTAAAAGGAATGTTGTTTTTGTGTTTTAACAGTTTATGTTAGAACCATCCCTATCAATTGTACTAATCTGTTATGAGCATATGCTCTGTTGCCCTACAGTTTTTCTCTTCAAAAAGATGTTTATTATTAAAAAAATTGTTTTGGTTGTATTTGATATTTGTTGAAAACAGCATGCATGATAACTGAAAATTTTACCTGCTTTTTTCTTGTTTTTATCTTGAGTTCAGATTTACCATTTTTACCCAGTTTTACCTTTGAGTTTGAGGTAATTTCAAAGACGAGTGATTACAGTCTATAAACTATGTACTTCTGATCTGACTGGAAATAAAACCAACTGTTCATAATACGAGTTGTATTCATGTTTTTTGTTTTTATTTTCATAATCTGCATATCAAACTAGAGGCATGCTTTTTTTTATAACATCGAGACAAAACCTTGCCATACATTTAACAAAAATGAAATATGTTGAACATCAATCCAAATTTTATGTTAGCGTGTTGACAAATACACCCTTTTACTTTGTGAAAAAAAATAAGAAAATAAAGATATCAAATATTTAAAATAACATTTTTCCCTCACACAGCGAAAATTGATGATGTGACTGTCGAAACAATCACAGTATTTAGGTTACAAATCATGAATTGTTATACAACATGGTATGCTGTTATGACAGCGATCGAAAGTAAATGTTTACCATATTTAATCTTGTGGTGATAGAAACCTACTTTCTGTTTTTCAGCATCGTTGTTGAGGGACTTGCATGTACACTGTAGCTCCACCCCAACCCCAATTCAATGATCACACTATATAAGCCATTATTGTAGTCATTAAAGACATGGAGACCGTTTCTTGTACTTTTGAAACATTATTCCATTACCCTAAACTTAAATCCAAATCGGATGTAAAGAAATACTAAAAATTAGCAAGTTGAATTACATTACAATAACCACTGATAGTAAGAAATGCAGAAATTACATTATCAGAGACTTGTGAAAATAAAATGTTCTCGGATCCCTTTTATTTATCTTATTCAAGAGGAAATCAATTGAAGCCATGTTTGTATATAATAAATGTTTACTTATTGATAAATAATCAATAAGATATAGATAAATTCTAAGTACCTCATGCAGTTTTCTAAAGAAAATACTGATTCAGAAGTGAAAAAAAAAGACTTCTTCTGACTTAAAAGTAAATCAACTGCTGAGAATGTGGATGCTGCTCTTTAAGGAAAGAAGATTAAGACTATTTTCATTTTTTGTTCTGTCATTTTTGTTTTGGTATGAATTATGATTTTGTTGGAATGTCAGTGTTCTTCTGACGTCGTATGAAGGGAAATAACCTGAATGATACGACAGCAATGGAGGAAAATATTTTGCTCAAGGAAAACATGATTTTCTGGGAGGAGAAGCATCTCATAGGCTGCTTCTGATTTCTAGTGTAAAATTAATTTTGTAAACATGTGAATAATTAGAAATATCATAAGTACATACAGTTAATTAAGAATTTATTCTTTGTCGTATACAGTGTTGATGAATTCAGACACATGTGTTGCATGTACTGTATAAAGGTCCGTAGATCTTCTTGTTAAAAGGCTTTTTTATCAATTATAATTGGATGTAACTATTTCTGCTCCAACAGTGTTCATTACACACTAGATGTTGCTATATTTAGACCAATATCTCCAAATGCTGCATCCCTGGTCTATCATATGTCTGGTTGTTCTAGACAGTTCTTGTTATTGTTAGCGTGCTATTTCTTGAGAAGTACATGACACTAGATGCATCTCCAACAGGCGCCGGCGGCCATCTTGGATTTTGACAATGAAATTTTATATGAGAATTCCCTTGGTCCCTTGTGCCCATTTGATTTTGGTACTGTCAGATAAACAAAATACTGACAGGCAGACATCTTTTATTTGGTAGTTGGGGATCATTATTGGTATTTCTTGGGAGAAATTATCAAATTTCATATTATCAAGACCAAATAAGAATAAAAAAAATGAAAAAGATCCATTTTTTTTAAAAGATTAATTAAGATAGAACAGAGGTGGGCACCAAGATCCCTCTCGGATCTCTTGTTATATACCTTATTTAGATTTATCGATAGCTAAGCAATGGTACATATGAAAAGTCATTCGTTACATTTGCAAAAGATGTCCTTGCCTGCTATGAGAAAAAAATGAAAAATATAGTCGATGTTTCGACATCAATTCCGCTGATTTGTCCTGACTTTATAGAATCACAAGGCAATGTTATCCTTAAACATCAGGTTGATGATAATAACCTGTAGATGTGTTTTAATGTCGGCGACAACTTCATCGGGTGAAAGAGGCGATTATTTTGTTGCTTGAATTGATGTTGCTCTTATTTGAAGAACATGACATTACTTTATTACACTCAATTTACATGACATGTGACATGAATTAAACAGGAGATGCTTCCCTTCCAGAAACCTAGTCAGTCTAATTATTCTCCTTGTCCTTTTCAACCGTCTTCTTGTAAAGGTTTTTTTTAAATTTCATTTTTTATGCCCTTCTATCAACTTTTGAATTTGAATTTTATTGACATGTACGTCGTTACAACATATATTTTAAACAATAATTTAAGCCAGGATTGCTTGAAGTTGCTATCTTACTGAACATGATGGGAGAAGCCCGCCGCAAGTTATCTGGAGCAACTAGGATAGCACAGTACGATTCATGACCTCGGCTATCACATGTCACAGGTAATATGCAATACTATTTCGGAAACCTTAAAGTCCCAAATTTGCTGTTATGATTATCTACTTGTACATGTCACTAAGACTTGGACTGTGTGTTTAAGTTCTGTTAAACTATTCCTCAAAAATATCTCCTCTTTAGGCAGTTGAAATACTCGCCTTAATCTGCTAATATCGATCGTATGTGACACGTTAACATACATACATGTATCTAGAAAATATGACTCTCACAAGAGCCCTATGGACAGCTCTAAATAAATATGATCTTGTCACCAAAATATTGAGGTTACCGCGGTTTATAGCTGTATGTATATCACCAGAATAGTACATACAGTTTAATGTTGTTGTTTCACGTCCTTTTAACAGCCAGAACCATTTAAGGACGTGTCGGGTTGGGATGGTGGAGGAAAGGTGGAGTTCTCTCAGAAAAAAACAGCGACCTGTGACCAGTACCTGGCGACTGCTCCAGGAGGTCTCGAACCCACGACCCAGAGATGGAGGACAAGTGATGAAGACATCAGACCACCTTTTGAAAGTTATGATGTAATGTCTCAGCGATAGAGTCTCAGGGCTTGGGGGCCCCTGAGCTTCCTCATAGTGCAAGCAAGAATATAAAAAGATGAAAAAAAAATCCCAGTTCCGTTAGGCATTTGTATCATAGGTCTTGACAGATGAAAAAAAACTAACACATTTATTAACAGGTATATTATATCTCAACTTTTACCAATTCATCCTCTACAAAAACATGTTCATTATCACTTGCAAAGTGTTTTGTTCTTGATGTAAGACGCTTAAATCATTCGGCTACCAGTACTTACAAAGAGTACTTCACGTATATGATGTATATGCAACATGTAGAGCGTATTACTGTTGTCTATCATTCATAATTTAATGACGTAGAATTAAAAAGTTTCTTAAAGATTCGCTAACAGTTAGGATTATACCTGAAGCCACACTCTTTTATTGACTTTTTAGGCTAAACGTACTCAGTACGAATAGCCTATTGCTACGGCCTTTCGGACAAAATTTACCGATCCTGGCCTTCTCATTGGCTGAAATATCGAAAAGAGTTAGAGCCCTCTAGCGGCAATTTTCTGCGTAAATAATGCCGCGATCTTTCAAATCGCTATTTTAAAAGCACCCACAATTAGTTTATTTTTTAAAATAACAATACGATTACTATACATTTAAAATAAAGATGCACAGTGTGGTTGAACTATTTTGAACAATATATTTTACGGAATTTGCTCACGGACATCCCCGACCTGTGCTACTGAAGAAGATCGAGCTGACGTGATTCTTATCGCCTGCTGTGAATATTCCTAGAAAACAACCATATTTACCTGAAGTAAGCAAAAAAATGGTTTCTTGTATCTTCAAAGTTTATTGTAACTGCATGACTTGATTTACAGTGTATTTATTGTATGGCGGGGCTTATGAATCCTTCTCGACATGACGTAAGCGTACAGAACACTGTACGTGCGAGTTGGCGCCATGATAAGAATCTAGTCTGGCGGCTTGGTTTGAATTATCAACTAACAGCACTTATAAACAAACAAAACTTACAAACAGAACATCAATTTTGTTTTAATCCTTGTCGTTGTGGCAAGATCGTCTTAATATATAACATCACTTTACCTCATTAGACGTCACAAAATTAGACTGTTGGTCCCACGCGCACACCCGCCGATATGATACTTTTTCAAGTTTTTCACACCTACCGCCGTGACACTTTTTCAAGTTTTTGAAGATAAAAAGTTTGCGCTTCGTAGGCAAGGTACATTTGGTGCTCATGATTTATGAATGATATATTTTTAATACTGTACTGATCATGATGTTGACTTTGTTGTCTTTTAGTTTTATTTGATGAAGGTTGATTGTGCTGATTTCTCAAGTTTTGTTAATGTGTATCAAAGTTCCTTGAAATGAAAATATTCCTTCAAACAAAGCGCTTATTAAAAAAACCCCAAAATATTCATATTTATAATTATCAATTTACTAGAACAGAATATTTCTATAATATATTTATTAATTTCGCGTGTCATGGTGATATTATCTAATGCATTGGAGATCAGAAATAGTAGTAGCTGTAGTGAAAATATTGTATATGTTGTATATATATATGGAAGTCTAGTTTAATCTCATAGAACTGTGTCTTTATAGACATAATTACTGGAAGAAAAGTCTAACCATGATACTTCAAGGAAGATAGGCATGTAAATACATTTAATGTGATTACTTCCACGTTTATCTATCTGAAATGCTGTGTATACCTTATCTACTTTCCTCAACTACAAATGTAATTATAATAAGTAAGGACTATTACTTTGCAATTCATTCAAAATAAAGAAGTAGGTATAAAGCCAGCTCGATTTGTCTAAATCCTCATATTGATAGGATAGTAATTGCAACATCTTGGGTATTTCAAAGATTTTATTTAGTCAACTTCATCATAGAGCTATTTATCATTTGGCTCGTTGGCGATAAATATATGGTTGTGTGTAATTTTTTTTTTTTTTTTTTTTACCTATTTTGATTTGTTCACATTATTGTCGTCAAAATTGAAATAAGAATTAAAGAAGATATAAAAAACGCTAAAAATTAAGAAAGATAGCCCCTGGTTCTCTTATTTTAGTAATTTTTGCATTCCAAAGTGTAGGAGTATGGGGAAAGTAATATAACTTAGCGGTTATTTGTGAACATTTTTCAATACGTTTAGCCTCTCAGTACTTTCAGTACTTTGATTTAATTGTATGGACAAACTTAAAACTGATAAAACTATCCATTTAGTATTTGTAGTGACATTTCGCGAGCTTTTTATATAAACAAGTTGTACGTTTCTCGATCTTTTTAAATAAACAAATTGTACGTTAAAAATTCGATATTCCCCATTTCCACTTTACATGTGATTAAATCGGTAAAAAATTCAACCTGTCCATATTGTAATAGGATTCATGTCAATACCTATGTAGGACACGTATGCCGTACAAGCTGTGCATATTTGATTAGTAAAGAGTGTGAACTGTGTTTTAACTGAATTGACCTTACTGCATGTATGATAAATGTTATGTGACAGGTTGATGTTTATGCTCAACACTTTTGAGAAGATGAATTCATCATAAAGAATGTATTTAGATTTGGTCGCACTGTATTTTTAAAAGCTTGCTTCTGATACACACTTTCAATTCGTCTAACAAAAAAAATCGAAGTACGACAGGTCTGGAGAAAGCTGATTTTCTAGGGCCGCTTATGTTCTTATAGAAAACAAAATGGAATATAGAATCGTTTATGTTACTGCAGTCGTCTTGGTCTTCGTATGTAGAGCATTCGTCGGATGTACAGGTAAACCATAACTTTAAATAAGAGTGTGTTTACATATCAATATTTTGTATCGTCGATTTGATGTTGAAATATTTTAATGTAAAACGAACTTTTTATGACAGAAAAATATGTTTTTATAACGTGTACTGTTTACACATGTATCTAAAACACTGCTGAAATGTCCCCTCGTAGCCTTTGTGATTTTATATATTTCATTAGATGTTGTTGATTTTTAAATATCATTTATACTCGCGTTTTTTTTATTATTGCTTGCTAGTGTCGTAAACAAGTTTTGACGCGACGCTGCGTGTTGGTAAAGTCGTGTTTTATAAGCAAATACAATAATTTTTACAAAAATTAATAAAAATTCGTTATATTGTAGGATGTTCGTAATGTGCCTATATTGAAGATATGAGCATAATCACAGAAGTAAACTACCCTACCATATATATTTTAGACAATGCTGTCGATTCATTTGAAATACATGTGAAACAAGTGTTTCATCATAAATGAGTTGTGTATACGTATCAGATTTTTCACCTTTTTTTCAGGAAATGGGATAAAGTGATAATTAGAATAGAGCATTTCTTATATTTTCATATGATTTATGACACAATAAATAAGCACTTTGTAATTATATTTTAGCTAACCGGGTTACCATTACGATTCCGAAGACACTGGTGTTAGGTGAAGACGGGTACCGCTATACTGGGCTTAATTCGTTCGGCTACTCTGTTGGCAACACAACCTCTTTCGAGTTTATGGTGAAAACCTGTAGTGGTGCACAAGTGGCATTGATGTCCGGTCCTACGGAGAGGTCCCAGCTTTATGAGGTGGTCATCAGTGGACTGGACAACTCTGAGACTGTCGTTCGTAAATACAAAGGTGGTGCAGTCATGATTAAAAGCCATGGCGGTATGCTGGACTGTTCAAAATACAGGGCTTTTCAGATACATTGGGAAGATGGAGTGATTTCTCTTGTTAGAAAATGTCGCCTTGGAAAGTGGTTGCAAATTTTGAGTTGGAAAGATTCTCATCCGAGACCAGTCAGATACATTGGAGTAACGACGGGATCGTGGGCTTCCAGCACGTGGAAGTTTAACCAGGATGTTGTGGAAGATCCAGGTAATGATGAATTAAGAACATCATTAAGTGTGTTAATTCTGCTGTTTGCAATTACAACGAGTTTCCTATTTTTATTTCGATATCGAAGCATCCCTTCTTTAAAACTGGCACACCCGTCTGGAAAATGTACATGCCTATCTATATAGGGATTACAATTTTTTTGACTGTAGGAAAGGAAATCGTGGCCAGATGTAAGATGCGCAGATAATGGCAGATATATTTGCTCTTAAGAGCTTATTAAGGGGGAAAATCGTAATCTCAATGCCAGATCTATTGCCGTAATCATAATATCATTGGGACGTTTCTATTTCCTTGTACGCTACGAAGTCTGACGTGTTTGATGCTCGTTAATTGCTATGGTGGTTCCCTTTTGTCATTTGGAAATCTGGCACTATTTACTTGGACTGACCAAGACTTAAATGGCGCATGCCGTCGATGAAACAAAACACGCTTACTCTTCCGGAACATATGGTCTTATTCTCATACGTTTATATTTTTCTTTTGTTCATATCTTGCTCTGCATTCATAGAATATGAGTTTAAGTTTTGTTAACATGCCAGTTTTTTTTTGTCTTGCTTATCTACCTATAACATGCGTGAGCGATACTTATCTGAAATGGATCAACCCAAATTATATTTGTCCCGTGTTGATTATCGTGATTTGATAATAATCAAATTAATCAGTGATTATACATAATCTAATGTTGATTTCCAGATTCCAAACGAATACTTGAATTCGAGACTGATATGCAGAGAGGTCTCAACTATTACTACAAACACCTGACAGATTTCAAATACGAGTTGGGTCACCGGACATCCATAACATTCAGTGTCAAAGCCTGTAGTGACATTCACGTCGCCCTTCTATCGAGAGACGTTGGTGCATGTGATATGTACGAAGTTCTTATAGGTGGATATGCAAACACACTGTCAACTATTCGCCGCGGGAAAAACGGATACAATTTCGTCACAAAATCCTCCTCTCCAGCCGATTGTAATGCGTTTAAATCGTTTAAAATCACCTGGGATCTGGGTCTGGTCACCGTTTGGTACGAAAGTGAAATTGCCACATGGCATTTCTTGATGTCGTGGAGAGATCCTAAACCAATCAATGTTCGGTATATTGGCATGACAACAGGAAAGGCCACTTCTGGAACATGGAAATTACAGCTTTAGGTATTGACAAGATGTTACGACAACGAAAAAGGTGATGTGATGTATGAACTATTGAAATGAAACATATGTAAAGTGATCGATATCTTTTAACACTCACCGATTGTCTGATTCCCAATAAAACGTCATGTTGACACCATCTTTTATTAGTAGACATACGTTCGCATTAACGTAATTTTCTGTTGTTATCGAATACCGCAGAGCTGGTAATTTTCAGGAATCAAAATTTTCGCGATTTTGATTTAAAACGAACGAATTATATCTGAACGAATTAAAATTGCGTAATCTGGATATAAAGGGACATCACACACACCCGTGTCTCATTATGTCAAGATTAAATTTTCGCGGTCACGTTAATACACCGCCAAAATATCGTCCTCAAGAAAATAATCAGCTTTAAGGTACCTAAATGCTGTCCTTGTTTGTTAAAGTGACCGCACATACAACACTGCACTTTAGCAAACAATATATTTATCTTTTGAAAACCAATTGTAATGATGCAATGACATGTATTCAACTGTTGACTGTTCATATGTATCTATCAGTTTTATCATCTCATTAACTAGTTTTATGTGCCCATTGACTACACAGGAAAATCCTGCATACGAAATGACAGAGGTCAACATCACAGAAAATAAAACCAAATATGATCCAGCATGTGATGCCATAGTCTTCGAAGCAGTTTGATGATATCACAGTGGAATCTAACCGTTGATTTCCCTCGAATTAGTTCTTATAAAATAAATATTTTAACTCTTTGTTTTCTACCTCGGGAGACGTAGAAGTTTAGCGGTATGATATAGATGTAATCATATGTAAGAGAATATGATAGTTGAATTGATTTTCAAGGGCCTGTTCCCAATTGCCCAATTGATTGACCAAGATTTACATGGCGGGTGTTGTCGATAGAACAGGGGACGCTAATTCTGGTTTTATTCTGCTTGTACTTTTTCAGGAGTTTTCACGTCATATTTTCTTTTGTTCATGTTTCACTGACTTCATCGAATTGGAGTTTGAATTAAGACTTATGACATGTCTGTATTTTCTTTATGTGTGTGTGTGTGTGTGTGGTTTTTTTTTTTTTTTTACATAAGCATACATGTTTTGTGCTAAAATCTTTACCATCGATTAAGACCGGTAGGAATTTCATCCTACCAGCCTGCAAGATTTGTCATTTCAGTGCAGACGTACTTCAAAATGATCTTCAGCTAGCTGCTCAATTCACCATGCCTTGTACAACCCTGAATATATTGACAGTTGCTCTATGTGTCTCTTCCATGTATTTATTAATTCCCGTATGTCCTTAAATGGGAAAGTAACTGTTTTCGCTCTACACATGTTTAGTTAAAAATTCTTACAACTCTTTCTAAATGAAAATTTCGAACTCAACTGAAGAGATTTGAGCTTATTATACATTTCTATCTGATGTGGTTCTCATGCTGATGCTGAAGTCTTCGCGTGAAATTATTTGAATATCACATCTCACTGTATATATATGATGAAATAAACATGATATATGTGTTTCGCTAATGTTTTGCGGACCTTGTGTCAATCTTGCATAGACAGTATAGGTCATCGTGTTATAAACAAATATATTTATTTGCATTTTATTACCTTACCTGTCTAAATATTATACGATCTGGATAAACAAATTATGGTTTAATAATTATTTTGTAGAAGCACTGTCTGGTATGATTGCTTCTATACAGAAGTCAACACAACTGAAACTTGCTTTTCAATAAATAATTTCCATATCCGCTAATAAAGTACGCAAAAACTTTATATAAACATGCATATGTAAAGCCTTGCCCTTTAATCTAAGTGTACATATTATAGTCACTGGGGATGATAATGATAATGAACACTTTGTTGGAAGGTGCTTATATAATGTATTACTGAATTTAAACATCACTATATATCATGACACACAACTGTTTTAGTACATTGTCATGTAATGTGCATTAAAAAGAAATTAAAACCCTCAATGACAAACGTGTTAGGTAGACACCTATGGAAATATTTATAACATTTGGTTTACTTTCTCATTTTCTTACTCATATCTGTTTTCATAATTTATGTATAAGTTAAAGTGATCACATAAATATCGAATTTACCTTTTTAAAATAATGTTTGAAATTATGTCTTTTACAAGGCTAATAAAATCCGTCATTGACAATCATTTGATATATGATATAGGGAAAAAAACCCGCTTCGTCCTCGGCCATCAATATAGGAATATATCCCATTGTGACACGTTAGTATCGACAGAATGTGTAATGAGCCACGTGTTCCTCTGTTCTTGCACATTTTATGCTATGATCGACAGCCCCTGACTATCAGAAATACAAACAGGTTGACGCCTATGACCTGAACACAGTGACAATGACCATCCATGCTATCAAGTAACATACTGGAAATGGTGGTAAATGATAATTACCTTTGTACATCGACACTGCTCTCGACCATTCAGCGTACGACATAACGCAATTACATAAAAAGGTGACATTGAAGAAAACATACATTTGTAATCATTTCTGAGAACGTTCAAAGGAGTTTATGGTCAATTCAACGCAAAATGAAGTCACTTATTTTAGCCTTGTTGTTCCTACTCTGCGGCTTGGCCTGCCATATTGAAGGTAAATGCATCTTTTGTAATCTTAATAGAATTTATCATAATAATAAAATACTTACATAAAATAATTTTACTTCATATATGAGATTAATTATTCCAGTGTCTTCGTAAAATGTTAAATTAAAGTTACATGTTCATGGCAATTCAAATAATGTATGATTTCATTATACAAAGTAGGTTGATAATAATATTGTTTTTAATTAAAATATTCGTATCATGAAACAGGCCTGAAAAAAGTTTGTAACTCAAAAAGACCTATTTAAAGCAATGGTTTAGATATCATTGTAGTTGTTAGTTGTTTATTTTTTGTTTTGTTGTGAAAGTACATTTGTTTTACTAATCGTATTGTTTATGCTCAAAAGTTATCATATTATTTCAACATTTTATCCATCTTTATGTTATATTTCAGTTGACAAAAGCGGAGAGGCGCGAAAATTTAATTTATTTTGACGATTTTGATTAGTTAGATTGTATATTGAATACATTTTAAACAGTTCATTATTGTATGATAGTAGGTTGCATGAAGCAAATATGAAAAAAATAGTTTATAACTCAAAAAGATTGTTTAGGTATCATTATGGTCGTTAGTTGTGTTGTTTCCTATAATGTCTGGTACATGACTGCATGTTTCATTCCATCTTATTGCTTGCGTTTAAAAGCCATCATATTTAATCAACATTACATTCCTCTATATGCGATGGTTGGCATGTTGGTATTTTCTTGTTTTTGTTTTTTTAGAAAAAGGGGGTGTGGCGAACATTGAATGATATTTATTAACACCACTTCGTTTGTGTAGTCACTATATTGGATATTCATTTCTTTTTTAATAGGTCGTGGGTACTTAAGCAAAAGGCCACGTGCCCAAACAGATCTACCGACAGAGCCAAAGCCAATAAGTAGGAAAAGAGCAAGACCCAAAAAACCCGTCTTAGACTTTCCTTCTCGTAAGCATTTCACTTACTGCGATCACGTTTAATCTGTATTATATGTGTCAGTAATTGAGTACAAACATCCCTTTACAGTGACAATCTTATTCGGCGTATCTATCTATATTATGACAATCTTAGTCAGCATACCTGTTTCTTATATTGACACTATACTTTGGCATACCTTTATACTGACAATGTACCTTCGTGTATATCATGTGAACGCATATCGGCCTACCTACATATATATTAGAAATTTAATCTATCAACGAAATATGTATCGGACCAAACAGGTAATGATCTTCATCACCGAACTGAACAGTGACATGTAGAACACTGTTTTGCGTTTGTTTTTTGATTGGATGGCCTATGAACAATTTATATTCATATTAGATGATTTTCAGGTTTTCTGTAAAAGTTATCGTATTTACAAGCAGATCGAGCATATATTGCCAACATAATATTAAATACCGTGTAACGAGTTATAAATCTTCTAGAAGTGTTGATCTATCGGTATATACAGGACATGTGATCCTTTAAAACTCTGCACTTCGTCCTTGGCCATCAATATACGAATAAACACTATTGTGACATATAAGTATCGACAGCGCATAAAACGAGCTACGTGCGTGCTCCCCTTGTCTGCATTTTTTATGTTATGATCGACAGCCTCTGATAATCAGTAAGCAAAAATGTTGACGCCTATGATCTGGACACAGTCACAGATGCTATGCAATCTATCATGTAGCATACATGTACATAATGAATTTTATGGAACTATACCTTCAAGGAGCATTATTTTACTTCGTTCTTCACCAGAGTACGACAATATGATGCAACGACAAATAAGCAACATGAAAATTTCTCATGTAAAGAGTAACAATTTATTTTTCCCCAATTCCATCAAAAAATGGCTTGAAGTTACCTGATCATGTAACTTTAAATTATGTATCAAGCCATTAAAGAATAGAGGAACATGATAATATCATAATCTGTAGCTATTATGAACAATAAGCTTATAATATTTGTGACTCAAAAATACGACTTATTTACATGGATTATTTGGGTGCCTCCATAGTTGTTAGTTATTGTGTAAATCCACATAAGTGCCTTTACATTTTTTTCTCTTTGTCAAATCCTATTGTACATCAACATGCAAAATATTAAAAAGAAATTATATAAGGAAAGACCATCATATACATGTATATAAATTTAATATATTTTTGATGAGAAAAAACGTAGAGACGCAAAATTGAATATTTATTGATATCGGAAAGTCCACCCTGTTGAATGTATCTTGTCTTTTAAAAGGTCGTGGAAACTACGGTTGGAGGCCGCGACCTCAAACAGAACTGCCATCAGAGCAAACACCTATAAGTACCAAAAACGTCAAATCCGGAAAATCAGTCATAGACCCTGCCATTCGTAAGAAATCCGTGGGATGCCCGCGACGTCGATGTGCCTCTAGAGATATCCCGGTCTCCTGTAGACAGGAAACTTTTTTTAGATCCGAGGATGGTAGGCGATGTAAAGGATGTGATCGTAATATTTGTCAGGAAAAAAGCCTTGATACGGGAAATCCTTTGTTCACCCGTAAGTTAGCTTCAGAAAGTGATCCGATCCGAGATACCGTTTCCAGGGATAGACAGAATGACGGGACACTACCCTCTAGAAATCGTAACAGTAACAGCGCAAAAAACAATTTACGATCTCAAAACGAGTTCCGCAACATTGACCTTTTTGATACTATTTTCCAAAACAGAAGAAATTCACAATCGTTAATTGAGAGAGGATTTCCAGAGATGTTTCCTTCGGAATCAGATTCCATGATGTCACGACTTTTTGGACAAGATTCAACTGGACAAAATATCATGAATAATCGGGATGTTGGAACACGAGGAGCAAACAGAAGACGACAGTCACCTGGTTTACAAAATCGTCGCAACCGTGTTCCTGTGACAAATAACAGCTGGGCATCTCCAGGTTTCCAATGAAAGTAAGATGTCAGTTAGAGTACAAATTATTGATCAATACGTTTTACATTTTATCAATCAAAGGATCTACATGTGAAGACGTAATTGTTTTGCTTTGCGTCTTAAAGTGTTCACACTTATGACATACAGATCTAAAATAAGTGGTGTCAGACTCAACTTTTTGTCCATTTAATTCAAAAGTAGCATTTTCAATATTAACAACGGCACTTATTAAGATACTAGTGAAAATCATTTGCAGCCCCGCCCTTAAACTAACTCATATATTAGATGTAAAACAATGTGTAATTTGTAACTTATTAACTCTTGATTCAAACTCGTGTTCGACGAAACTAGGAGCAAATATGAAAAGAAGAAAGATGTTTCGGAAGGGTAAGTGCCTTATACATCTTGGTCAATCCAATTAAAACATTATGTAATCTTTTCAAATGAGAACAATAAAAACATAATTCTTAAACCGGCTGTTGCAACCACAGCGGGATTATGGGAATGCCATAGTTTGTGAAGAATGTATATATATATTTTAATAATTTGCGAGGGTATATGTTCGTAGCATGGGATACAATTATACGAGTCATCCTCGTTATAGTTGAATCTTGTTATGTACATAAACTATAAATAATTGATGTCATGAGCGCACGTTGATGTACAGTGTCATGTCTAGTGTTAAGACTTGGTTAGATTTTTTAAATTATGAAAATATCAATGACGAATTATCGAACAAGATAAAAAAAATTTGACAAATTCGATGCAAATTCAAAGTGAATAAAGAAGTATGGTATTATAACATACTGAATAGCAGATTTTTGATACGTCTCGCAGTATGCAATTTTATTCTATATTGGTAGTTTTGGAGAAAGTTGATTTGCACACAAGTGATTTGGAATGCAGCCATTAAAATTATAAAACCATATTTGAAACTTTTAACACTATTAATCCGGTTAGATAACCAAGATTAGTGCATATTATTGTACATATTTCATTTGTCGAATAAAAACAAATATATATATCTTTTTTTTGTAAATTTATTACCCAGTATGGGATACACACATTACATATATGACAAATTCTCGTTATAACTCTCTACAATAAGTAAATAGCAACAATGTGTTAAACTACTGAAACATTTCAAAACAGAGATTGTACTTTCAAACAGTTTAACAATATAAGTCTTTGGATGGATTTTATTTCATTTCAGGCAGCTGCTACAATACAAAACAAAATCGGTAACAGTCATTCTATTTTCAACTAAGAAAACTACATAATGTACAACGTTTCCAATCGATCAGAATATCCATAAGTTGGTGTTTCCTTGCTAAAAGTTTAACATATTTTGTAAAAAAAAAATACACATTGGTCTTTCATTGTGTTAAGGCCTTTCTGATTCAGTCATATATAAAATTTAAAAACGTTGAAAGACAACGTTATTTGCCTTAAAATGCGTTTTTTTTTAAATAATTTGGCAATACACCAAAAACACATCAAGATTAATGTAAAGTGGTGTTGCTGTATAGTTTTCTATAATAAGTTCTTACTTTTATTATATATTAATAACCAATACGAAAAATGCAAATGAATAAAATTCTTATTTGCCCACACAGAAGACTGGGAGAAGGACGGACTGCTTTACGTAACCAAATGGATGTTAAAAGATAGTGAAGGTATTGTACCTGAGGCTGATAAGGGAAATAATGAATATATATATATCTTTTCTATCTCATTTCACTCCTTCTCCTTCCTATCAATCGTCAATATCAAGGAAAAAGTTACATAATTCAATAACAAGATTGTCTTATTTCATTATCTTCGTCGCTATTCCGAAATACTGGTCAGAAGTATTGACGAAATTGTATTATCATATTCGTTACAACATACACATCAAATTAGAATTTATGTCAAACCCATTTTGTGCATTCATGTCGGAGGCTCCTGTAGACTATTAAAAACACACAACTGATTATAAAGTATTTCGTACGAGCTTTCCACTGCCTATATGTAGGCTAGTGCATACATCTTTGATCAGTATTCTAGATTCTAGTGGCATATCAAAGACATGATTCATCACACACCTACGGAACAGCAAAAAATACCAAACTCGACTTTCTCTTTGTGAGAACGAAATAAAACTTTAACTGTTATCCGTTTGACAAATAATTTTATAACGACAAAAATCAATTTCTACTTGATATACATATATACATTTTCACAAGTATTACATGGAATTTATATTCGTCCAGATAAACAAAATCGCTTGTCTGAATCAAATTATGAAAATATGTTCATCAAAGTTTTGAACTTGTATATTACCAAATACATATACGTTTTACTATATATTTCAAGTATGCAGAGAAAATATTTCCGCATTAATCCATATCTTTATGCGGAAGGTGAGACTGAAGGACAAACACGTCCGGATTTGTTTTCTTACGAATATGTAAACAAAGACCAGTGATTTAATTGTGAGAAACAATATCGACATTGACCACTGAATGTAAACAATTAAAAGACTTATCAAGTATCACCCAATTACGCAATTATAACGTACCCTTTTTTTTTAAAAAAAATAAATAAACATATTTCTTTGAATAACCACAAATTAGAAATGAAAAATGTATAAAAAAGCACACAAAACGAAAAACAATTACGTATTGAATAGGACCACCTACGAATTAGACATTTCTACCCCTAGATTTTTTTTCAAACAAGTTATGTAAGACATTCTATATTCTGTTAAAAACCTACTGTGATGCTTAGTTATGACACCAGATTCTTGCATACACGGGATACATAATCTATGGTAGTGATAGAAATATCAAGACTGAACTTTTCTAATTGGGCAGAAATCGAAATCGTTCTACACAATATGAACAAGACCAGGAGAAAAACATGTGTAGTACCGTAAAATGACTGCTTCAAATTCAAATGCCTTTTATACTCACACTGGTGAAAAACGAATCGGTAGTATTATAAGCAGTGTTACATTTGTTTGGTGATACGCTATAAAGAAAAAAGAAATACATTGCTGTTCACTTGCGATAGTTTGTGCAATTTTAAAGCACAGAAAGTAATATCTCCGCGGAAAGAACATTTGGGTTACTTAGGTATTTTCACTTTCAAATTCTGAAAATTTTGCACTCTGATCACTTCATACAAGCGTTAAGGAAACGCATTGGATTTTTGTATAATACTCTTGATTAAAACCTAGTTCCTGCATTATCTAAATGATTTCGTATGCATACGAAAGACCATTAAAAATCAAGTTCTTGAATTAACTTTGAATTTACAATAAGAATAACGAATATTCGAGGTAATAAATCATTCGTGCTATCAAGTAGACAACAATCACATTATGAAACACGACTGAATTAGCCGGTTTTAACTTAACAAACAAATCCTGCATTTCTAACGATAGCTCTGAAAACTCCAGTTCTCATCTAAAAACGAACATATGACACACCACTTAATTTTCACAAATTAGTCAAATATAACTTCAGAAGAATCCTGGCACAAGATGTCCACACCTTTTGTCTACTGAAACGCTATATATACATTAGCATACAATACAAAATGGGTAGCTTGTCGAACTTTCAGTAGCGAAAACCGGATTTGTTTTCACCTCACAGCAGCTTAACGTAAGATATTTATTTGCAAAATTGTTATTTCATCAAAGTGGGAAAAATCATCAATTCAATTTTGTACAGGATAGGATAATTGTTATCAACTATCTAAAATAGATCAGACTATGGCAGTTTAACCACTTCAACAGGGAAAAAAACCTGATGGTTTGCCAGGGTTGCATCCCTTACTCCCAGGCAAACCGCTGTAATAACTTTGAAAGCAAACATCATTGACACTATCAAACAGAGACATAGTACAAGCATGAAATCAATAATAATTAATCAATGCAATTCATGAAAAAATAACCGCAATTTATTTGCAACGTAGAAGCTTAATGACAATATTAACATATTATTCTAATACATTCATTTTGCAGCAAAAAATCACTTTGCTTGCAGGTTGACATCAGCATTATGTAAATATTTACATCATCTGACCGATTAAACAAACCGATTATCGCATTGTACTTTTGATAGAATAGTCTCCACCTATTTGGCTTATAATAGTTTAATATAGCCGTCCTATGTTATTACAATCTCTTGCATATCATTTGTATGTACATTTGTCCACGCCAATTGGATAAAAAGAGATTTACAGCCAAAACAAGACATAAAATAAAGAAAATATATTGCCATGCATCATTAAAGGCTGGATTAGATTTAAGCATGTTAGTACTAAAAAGTTCCTTGATTTGACTACGGACAAAACCTCAGCGCTAACTTTTTTTTTATAAGGGACTTTATATACAGAAAGCCGCAAATCTCAAGACCTACAGATATGAATGGTGTAATTTAGAAAATGAAAATTTATATTTTTTAAAGCAGTCGTGTTGGTAAATTGTCTTACAATTGACAAATAACTCACTTTTCAGTGTTTCTCATATGATACAATGAACCTTGAACACGACTTAGAGATATACATTTCATAGTTTTACAGACATCGAGATGGTGACAAGGATTACCTGAAGCATGAATGTTGTGGTCTTTTCTGCAGAAGATATGTAACTACTATGCTCTTATATACAAAATAAAAATGTATTTATCAAATTGTCTCTTTGATTTGATCCACTCGGGATACAACATGGCAACTGCTTGATCATGCCTCGTTCACCACCGTATTACTAACTGCACAAGACGTTACAGTGTGCTGGTATACATTAAATCTGTCATAACTTAACAAAAAAAAATAATAACTTGTCAAAGCTATCTTAGTTATAAGTGTATTGTATTTTGCCAATTAATCGTCGATGATAGATTTCGGAGGAGTTGGAACAGTGATTTCTAAAAACAAGGAGAAAATGCCAACATTATAAGAAAATGAAAACTCGCACGCAAAATGGAAAACAAATTATAGAAAAGATACCAGTCACTTACACTTGCATGTATTTTCATTTACATGAGAAAAACCAATGTTAGTATCCTTAAGTTCTAAGAGACATTTTCATATCAACTGCACGATGTAGAATAACAAAATGTAACTAAATGCTTTTATTGGACACAGGTAAGGCTTTAAGCAACAGACGGATGAAAATCACAGCCTCTCAAACACTAAACTTTACTCAAACAGCTATGCAAACACATTTAAATAAGAATATATACAGACAATCACTTCGGCTGGTTGGTAGATCCTTTATTAGATCGGAATATGTTCTAAACCGGTATGTTTTTAAGACCGCTCTGATCTGTTGCAGGTATTACTAAAGTTGATACTTCTATTTGATGAAAGCTTTTCATGCTGGCATACTTTTCATTAAATCCAGAAGAAGAGGATGTTTTGACATCACGGGCCATTCAGATTTGATCTTATTCATTTTTTTACTGCACTCCGTCAGAGATCGTAAAGCGGTCAAACGTTCGAGTAACAGACGTATTCTTTTGTCAGGATTGAGCTTATTTTTCTTAGCCAACCACCGGATGCAATTTAATAATTTCCATTGGATTTTTTCTACTTTTTCTGGTTCTTGTAGTTTACAGCGGTCTGAAATATATACAAACATCATTGACACTATCAAACAGAGACATAGTACAAGCATGAAATCAATAATAATTAATCAATGCAATTCATGAAAAAATAACCGCAATTTATTTGCAACGTAGAAGCTTAATGACAATATTTACATATTATTCTAGAATAGACAGTTAAGAGACATGGAATTTTATCTAAAAATTATGTTTTACACGAAATTTAAGCATATTGAAACGGGTCATAACGCCTAACGAAATAGGAATACGAATAGAAGTGACAAGAGAACAATAAGGATGAAATAAATTGCGTCACAAAATAAAATCCGATGTAGAAAATCCGTCATCAGACCGAAACATTTTAGAATTGTTTTTATAAAAATATCAATTAGCTAATAATTCATAATAATGAACAAGTCCTTACGTCCTTTACATACCTCTGAATGTGACAACTACTCCGCGAAGAAGAACTATTTCTTCAGAATTCATATTCAGTGCGTGCAATGTTCTTGCGAAGTTAAAAACTTCGTCTGTGTGATCTGCTGCAAACAATTTCGCAAAGTCGTCCTTGTGGGCATTGATACATCCAGACACCACAGATAACTCTGGGTTTATCATTCGGAACTCCATGAGAATCCAGAATTCAAAATGACTCGCTGTAAATATTGCAAAAAATTGTCAACAACTGAAATTCATATTAATCTTCAGCATAAAATTGTATATGGTTATCAATTCAATATCGCATAGAATTCTATTCAATATCTATTTACACACTTTAGGTACTTAATAACTTGAGCGTAGAATAAATAACTTTAAAACACGGTTTATTGGTTACTATTATACACAAATTTGAACCGACTCATTGCCAGCTATACTCAGTTCTGACGTCTCTTTAATAAATAAAAAAATAGTTATAAGCTAAACAAGATCTTTAGAAAAAATGTTTACCAAAAGGTAATTTATTTCAGAATATTTGTTGATATCACTTTTAAATTGCGTACCCGTGATCATTTAAAGAACAAAAGTAATGTTCTTTTATATTCTTAAGCAGGACATTTGTTTGCACAGCTGTTGATAGATGGGATTTTTCTTTCAGTCAGCCTTAAAGCTAGTTAAAGCTAAGGTGATGTGCATACAAAGCTTTACTCTTATATCCAACATTCCTAATTCTTTTAACAGACATTTTAAGACCATTCTTCAGCTTATCACCTTTGTAGAGACATATTCATATTGTTAACAATTGTTGTTTACTTAAATATATAATATTATAATTGTGAGATAAGTATTTTTTTCAGTTTCCTGTTATAGAGAAAATATGGCCCTTTATCAAACTATATAACCCGTACTGGCAAGAGAGCATTTATAATCGATGTGCTTTACCCTTCGACATATAATTATCGTACGACATACCGAAATTTTCTTGCATTTGGTTCTGTTGCTGTATCAACCAACTTTGGAAAATTCATACTTATATGAAATAAGTTTTTTTTCCTTTCCTAATATAATTCAAATAGATTCACCATAAAAAAACAAAAATATTTCAAATCCCTAGTGTATCGTAAAACATTCGTCTACAGATCTTCGTCATTGTTTATAATCTAAAAAGCTATGCAGCATAAGCGGTTACACGTACGAAGTTTTCACCGTAATTTAGGGACACAATTTCCAGTGCATTTGAAAACGAAATATTTAAACCCCTCAAATTCTGTGGACGCTTATTTTAGAAGGATTCTTGAAGCTTACGGTCAAATTTAGTCGGAATATTGCAAATACTTTGGGAAAAAAAGAAAAGAAATTTTATGTTATCCAAACATACAGTGTTACATTTAAATCATTCCTCCGCAATCATATAACTTTCAAGTTAATTCAAGGTAAACTTCAAAGGTGATTTTTCTAAACAATGTTTATATTCATCGTCATCATGAATAAATTAGTTTCTAGTGTTATAATGTACATATTACTAAAAGGGGGATTTAAATGTGCTATTGGATATGCATCGTCCACATTATAGATGTATTCACATAATATAAACATCAGACCAAATTTCTACTCAATGAAATCAATTAAGATAATACCAGAATTTCAAGCGCCGTTAAATAACTATTACGAAGATCGGGGTTCTAACTATTATCATTGTAATACTGGTATTACGACGTGAAACCGTTAAATAACTGTCCTATTTTCAACAAGTTTCATATTAATTATAAATATTTACATTTTATTAGGTTTGTCTGGTCCTCCACAGACAGCTCAGAAAAACCAGGTATCAGACGAACAAGTTCCACCATGTTTCGCAAACCATGCTCCATCTGACAGGCTATGTTAGACATCAATTCCTCACGGTTGTCCAAGTCGATGCCAGTCAGTTCTTTGAACTCTTGATGAACATCAGGAGGCAGCGTTGACATCGTACCAAAAAGTTCTACGCGGGACTTATATTGTTCCTTTAAAAGTAAAAAAAAAACAATACTGAGTTATTTTTGATATGTAGCAAGTCCTGCACGCTCGTGAAGTTCTGAGCTTTGTGATGTGAAAACCATAAGCTTACAAATTATAGGACTACTGTATAACATGAAATATTTGCGTTTTTCCCCTCAGATATCATTGCGAGATCACAACTTTCAGGAGTGTTCTTTTTACTTTACAAAAGCCCTTTTCTCTGAAGTTTGTTAAAAATCCTTTTATACGTAACGATTTCCTAATGAGATTATCAAAACGACAAATAAAAATCGCACTTTTCGTGACTATGGACTATGATAGATGCAAAATTAATTGAATTCCAAAACTAAAATTGGGAAAGCCATGAAGTGTAAACATATGTAAAGACTTAAGATAGCAAGTTCAGTATTTCACCAAGTGTTCATAATATGATGTTTTTGGAAGATTATTTTGATAATACAAAATGAATGTAACATAACATTGTATAAGTTTTTGAAAGAACATTAATCTTTTATAATAAAACAAAAAAAAGTAAAATCAAAATGCTGCTACAAGGAAATTATCAGTAGCTGTGTGATAGTCGTGAATTTTACAATAATGTTTTACTGACAAAGGAGAATATAAAAAATGTAGAAAAAGGTCCGTGTCCCTTATCAGCTTTAATGTTCATTCAGCATAAGAAGATCATGTTGTGGATATATTAAACACTGACAAATGAAACGATTATGTGGTTGTCTGAGATACGTGAAAATATTTTCGTCATACAAATTGACCAACAGATTAATACACGTTTTCTTTACAACAAGAGGCCCATGGGACCTGCATCGCTTACCTGGCTAATTTAGCTTTTCAGCCATTGAAAAATAATTTCAAATATGATAATAAAGTTCCGAAATAATTTATTGATTGGGTCCAGGCCTTATGGTCGAATAGAAGTCAGATTCACTATTCCTAAAACTTGCTTCAGACCAATCTTGGATAATATCCGTGAATGGAAGAAGGATTTTTAAGATCTTATATTTCCTCTATTGTGCCCAAACTTCGGACCAGGTGGACTAAAAATGTATCTCATTTTATAAAGCAGTTATATGGCTGATAATGAAATCTTACAAATATAATCTCCTGTCTTTTTTGAAGCTCTAGCTTCATTTCAGGGTCGAGATTGGTTAGAGGGCAATATCTTTTCTGGACCTCCATCATTGGTTCGATGATGGCCAAAGCCTCGTCATCGTCTAAATCCACCTCTGAACGTTGACCGAGACACTTATTTTTCTGTTGTAATTTTTTGACCTCCTGTGTATCACGTGTGCGCTTCTCGTATGTGTAACGCCCTGTCTTAATTGCTGCAACAAAAAGAAATCACTAGACTGACGTAAGATGATACACTGTATGTCCCGAAGGTCAACCATTTTCTTTTTCGTGTGGCATATACAATGAACACGTATCTGTTCCAGAAGTTCGAGAATGAATTTATTCTTGCTAAACATGAACCTCCGAAGGGAAATCGAAAAGAATAACCTCATTCAATGCTTGAAAATAGTTTCAACTTTCTACAGAAAAAGTTTAATACATTGCAGGAGTATGTTAGCTAGGTCAGTTTTTATCTTTGGTATGATATTCGATCAGGTAACATCATTATATAAGCGGCTGACCAGATTGTTGGACAAAATATTCGTTGGCAATAACACGGACAACGATCATGATTCATGTATTATATTCAGCGTTCATGAGATATGTTAAAGAGTATTTCCGATCCCAAATAACATTTACGTTATTTTTTGTGTTTTACATCAATTCGTCCTCTGGATACCCCATTCTTTTATGATAACATCATACTTAAGATTTTTTGTTGAACATCAATGTATCCCATCATACTGGTATTTCACTGTGAAACACAAGTTGTCTACATAACAATAATAGTTGTTTACTCATTTATCAACGAGTGACAGAATAAGATCAACGACGACAATAGATTTGACCTTTTCTCTGCCATGTCTTCACAAATATTCTCTGCCATGCAAATGTTTGATAAACAACCATAGAAATAAAAGTACATGTAACTGTTCTGAAATTGGACTGGTTTAGAGTTCCTCATACACGTCACAATGACGTATTAATAACGTATTCATATCAGCATTATAAAACGAAAACTAAGAATTTTGCAAAGAGTTTTGCAATCAAATAAAAAACCAAGTAACGATGACATTGGCCGTGACATGTTCATCATTAAGGCAAATGTATGGGAGCTTTAATTTCCACAGAAATCTTTTTCATTTGTCGCTATATTGACGTTACCAATCGGAACTCGACGCGACTCAATGCTACGTATGAACTCGACGCGACTCAATGCTACGTATGAACTCGACGCGACTCAATGCTACGTATGAACTCGACGCGACTCAATGCTACGTATGAACTCGACGCGACTCCATTTCATGTACGTCAGTAAAACATACACTGTGAGTTCGCAATAAAATAGCGAGTAGAGAGCAACAATAAAGGTAAGAAACAGACTTACCTTCGTGCGACATTCCCACCTCCAAACACTTCTTATATCGACATAATGGACAGGCGCTGCGTTTCCCTGGCTTAATGTTACACTTGCCGTCACCGATACATTTGTATTGTTCCTTGTTGTTTTGTACCTTCACAATACTGCGTCTGAAGAAGCCCTGCAACGACAATAAGACAAGTCATCACATGGGACATATTAAACCTTTGACATAGCATACAGTGACGTCAAGCTAATAACACATAGGCATGTGTTTTTGGTAAACTCAAATTTCGTCAGCAAGCACCGGGTTTATGAATAACGTATAGAAATAACAATGAATTCATATGTAAAGCAAGTACGTATTTGTGGTTAACGCCCATTTCTACAAAATGTGCATATATCTCACCTTGCACGCTTCACACGTGTTTGCTCCATAATGAAAACCAGACGCTTTCTCGCCGCAAACTCTACAAGGTGGAAGAAGGGGTGATGGAGGCGCTGCAGGAGTGGTCGAATCTGGGCTGGTTGGCTTTATAATAGTCTCATTCAATATATCCGAGACGTCCATTTGGTGCTCAATGGTGGTGCCAAGCATCTCCTCCTTGAGGAACAATGCATCCTCCTCAGACGTCAATTCCAAGATGTCTGAAATCACATCAACATCAAATTACTTTCATATGTCTCAAACCTTCAGACTTCAAACAACATTATTTCGATTTCGACAAGCTTGTTGGTATTTTTTTCATATAAAATTGTAATTTGCAATTTGGCATTTTTGCTAAGATTAATCTGTATGTTTATATGTTGTCATGTATTGGTCTGTATTTAAGCATCTTTGTCAGGTATTAATTTGTGTTTAAGTACCTTTGTGTTCATCTCTATGCTGGCCTTTTCGTCATTCTTTGATCTGTATGTGGGTATTTTGTCATGTTTTGATTTTTATTTTAGTATTTCTCTCATATTTTGATCTGTACGTTGGTAATTTTGTCGTGTGTTGACTTAATTGTTGGTAATTCTAAACGGTTCTGATCTGTATGTTGGCATTTATATGATATTTTGATCTGTATTTTAGTGGTATTAAGATGTTTATTATATTTTGTGATATTTTGGTCTCTATAGTGGCATTTGGTATGACAAGATGACTTGTAAAGTGATTTTTAAGATACTTTGATTACATGGTAGTATTTCATTCTGTATGTTGACATTTTGATTTTACGTTATTAATTGTCTCGGGAACTCATATTTTTTCTCTGTATTTTGCGTTACATTGAACTAAATGATAGTATCTTTTGTGATATGTTGATCTGTATTGCAATCTTTTTGTGTGTAGTACTGTTTGCAATATTTCGAGAAGTATGACGGGGTTTTTTGGAATACAGTTGCGATAATTTTACCTGAAAGATATGTTTGACATCTCAGTCACCTCAGCTAATGTTTACACCAATTTAAATGTTCATAATTGTCTATTTGTGATGTTTTGCATTTTTATTATATCGAATCGGTTCCCACTCCAAAATTCAGGAATATGTTAAATATCGAACAAGTGTTAGTGGGCAGTTTATAACTATTATTATTCATCAGTAACCTGTTGCTTCACAAATGTATTTATTCGAATATACAGCAAATCACAGTGAGTAAAGACAAAGAAACCTAAGACGCCCTTGGGTGTATTTAGATGGAATATGTCTTAATGGCCAAGCAACAATTGTACTTACTTAAGATCAGAAGAATTGGAATAAAACAACATCGTATTTAGATAACCGTCTCTTGTTACTCACAAAAACAGCCGGCTTACATTAACATTATTTCATAGCTTTTTTGAAACGAACATTCACGAATGAAGTTATAGATAAGTGAGATTGGAATTTCATTTCAATGGTCGTTACACAATCATACAATTCGAAAAGTAAGTAACGAACGAGAAAGTAACTTTAATTTCATCAACGGCATATATTGAATATCATAATAAAAGCCTTTATATTGATGATAAAGTATATGATACTTTGTATTAAATATCTACGTCTTGGCCAAACCGCTTAATTATATTGCTTCACTCTATCAATAAACATATTGTATACTGTACAATTACTGATAGAAGATGTAGTCATTCCTGTATAGAGAGGTCGGAGACGCAGATGACAGTGTACTTTAAGATAACTGACAGAAGATGTTGTAGTCATTCCTGTATAGAGAGATCGGAGACGCAGATGACAGTGTACTTTAAGATAACTGACAGAAGATGTTGTAGTCATTCCTGTATAGAGAGGTCGGAGACGCAGATGACAGTGAACTTTAAGATAACTAACAGAAGATGTGTACTTTAAGATAACTGACAGAAGATGTTGTAGTCATTCCAGTATAGAGAGGTCGGAGACACAGATGACAGTGTACTTTAAGATAACTGACAGAAAATGTTGTAGTCATTCCTGTATAGAGAGGTCGGAGACACAGATGACAGTGTACTTTAAGATAACTGACAGAAGATGTTGTAGTCATTCCTGTATAGAGAGGTCGGAGACGCAGATGACAGTGAACTTTAAGATAACTGACAGAAGATGTTGTAGTCATTCCTGTATAGAGAGGTCGGAGACACAGATGACAGTGAACTTTAAGATAACTGACAGAAAATGTTGTAGTCATTCCTGTATAGAGAGGTCGGAGATGCAGATGACAGTGTACTTTAAGATAACTGATAGAAGATGTAGTCATTCCTGTATAGAGAGGTTGGAGACACAGATGACAGTGTACTTGAAGATAATTTTCTTTGGACAATAAAAGTGACACGCCGCGTTTGACCTCATATTCACAAACGAATAAAAGATGTGTAAGATAGTGATCAAAGTGTTCCACGGAAATAACTTCAGCACATTCATGCGAAAACATCTTTTATCGCAGCAGAGGAGGATTTACTCTACAAACCATGCTATTCAAAATAGAATAAAGGAGAAAGATGGCAGTTTATATATCACCCATCTCTTCCGCTAATTGCAATGGTGCATGTTTTGACCACAATGACCCCAACCTTGTTTAAAACCTCATCTGAAATATGCCAATTGGGTAATTACATTCGATTTTCGGTATGCTAATCAATTCTGTGCTTTTCTTGGAACGATTGTTCTAGCTATGCTCCCCCATGAGTATATATGTATCGCAGCACCCTTAATACAATACTAACTTATGTACGTCATCCAGGTCGGACCATACCAGGTATACGTGTGCACATGACCTTCACTCGCTCAATTCAATATGGATAAAATATTTATCACTACCGCCATAACGGTCTACACGATGGCAGTCATAGTCACTTAACTACTTCTACAGGAATAATGCTGGTGTTTGGCATGGCGGACTAATTGGCGTGGCATTTAAAATGACCAAAACCGAAACACGAACGAGCAAACAAATCCTGAACACAACCTAACGGTTCATAGAAAGTAGTGCCCTTTTATATTTCAGCTATCTCAACCAGGCCCAATAGCTTAACAATACCATTGTTTACACACTACAGTGCCGTGTCATTATATACATATTCCAGGTCCGAATGTCCTTTATCACCATTAGTATCGATTATTAAATGCATTATGTGGATTAAACGTACTCGATGTTGGGGTCAAAGTAATCATTTCTAAAACGGCTGAACACAGGCTATACAAATACTGAGTTACTGAATATCTCAAAAGTGAATTTCTAGACTCAGAAAAACATCATATTTAGAAAATATCATTGGGATTTTATTCATTTTGATATTACTACATTTTATATTGGTGTGAGTAACATATTATCAGAACTTAACATGTACAAAATATGAACGGTATGACAAGCCTTATGCCTACAGAGGTCAACAAGACTTTGAGGAATAATATTTGTTTTGAACGCAATAACGGAGGTATCATGTCGGATCGATTTTATGATCTTATATATATACACTGACGGCAACCATTTTATATATTAGCAATAGCAAGCCTGTACCAGCATATAAAATCTATACACTGACGACAACCATTATACATACTAGCAATAGCATGCCTGTACACAACCATTATACATACTAGCAATAGCAACCCTGTATACAACCATTATACATACTAGCAATAGCAAGCCTGTACACAACCATTATACATACTAGCAATAGCAAGCCTGTACACAATCATTATACATACTAGCAATAGCAAGCCTGTACACAACCATTATACATACTAGCAATAGCAAGCCTGTACACAACCATTATACATACTAGCAATAGCAAGCCTGTACACAACCATTATACATACTAGCAATAGCAAGCCTGTACACAACCATTATACATACTAGCAATAGCAACCCTGTATACAACCATTATACATACTGGCAATAGCAAGCCTGTACACAACCATTATACATACTAGCAATAGCAAGCCTGTACACAACCAGTATACATACTAGCAATAGCAAGCCTGTACACAATCATTATATATACTAGCAATAGCAAGCCTGTACCGGTATATAAAATACATCCACTGACGGCAACCTTTTAGTCGTGATAACGTCATCGATATGCAAACTTAACGAATTAGTTTCACAAAATGCTCTTTCATGAGATATCTAAAGCTTCAAATAAACGCAATCGTCCTGACTTTCTTTTGAAATCAATCTATTTTCAAAACTTTTAGGGCTCGTTACTCTCATTTTTTCGATTTATGTAGGCCAATCTGGATCATCTTAGGTATTACTGACGAGTCCTAGATGTACGAAAGAGCTACATGTATATGATGCGGTTTTAATTCATCATTTCGTTCTACTGTATCTAAATACTAGTTTGGGTCTTTTTTACAACCATCAGTGTCACTTTTATAAACCGCTTTATCAGACATTTCTTAAAATCCCATCGTGTTTTAGAGATTGGAACTTTGTTCTTGAGTACATCCGAACACATGCGCTAAAACATCGCCATCAATTTATTTCTGGTTGACGGTAATGTTAAAATTATTGTTTGCATAATAGACCTAGAATTCGGACTTAAACATTTTAATTGGTCGTACTACATCTAAATTACCGAATCGTTGTGTGAGGTGATATGTGAGTGTTAATCTAAGAGTTTTATCAACAATGATTTACCCGATATTGCGTTTGTATACGACGTTATCTGCGGGGTTAGATTAGGTCAAGGACCGCGCCTGTGTATATGTCGGGTGGACCACTCTATTTGATGTGAACCAACATGTTAGCGTTGCTACTCATGTACCTGTTGTGTGACTGATGTTGTAAGACTGGCCGACGGTAAAACACAACGTAAACAGTAGACCGGTCGACCGTACTACACCTCAGACGGCAATGTCTACTAACTGGACACCTTATCAGCTTACTGACAAATCAGTACTATTTAACTCAGGTTTTAAATGTTTAAATCCACAACTTAATCGTTTATAATCGTCAAAAATACAATCGCAATCGTGACCATAGATTTTTTAAAACATATAACAAAACGGGAGTTCTGATCCTATTAATTTAACACCGATGTACCATCACACTACGTTGACAATACTTAGCAAAGCTGGTCCACAGCAGTAAGACAATGTTAGTCATAAATTATTAATAGACACGACCAAGAAATGTCAATCTGAAATTTTATTTGCAAATCGAAATCCGATGGTAGCTCTCTTTCGGCT